GGAGTTGTTATTTATGTGAAAGACCTAAACCGACTGAGAAATGCGAAATCTTGAATAAGTTACCCATGGAAAAATCCTTGGTGTGAAGTAAAGACTTTTAAAAGAGAGAATTAATTGATGGTGGAATTTTTGGAAGTCCAAATAGTGACATTGAAGATACTGTTAGACTTATTTACAGTAACTCGTGATTCGATAAAGTCACATTAAAACTTCGTCATTGTTGTAGATATTAACTTCCCGGAAATACATAAAGAGTCAAAGGCAACAATATGTTATGAAAATCATATTTTGTATAAATTATTTTCCGTGTGCAGAAGTACTCGTTACAAAATTTGTTTGTTTGATTCGATTATGACTAATTCGGAGGGCATAGTAAGTAGCGTGAGATACGGTGGCAAATTAGGACCAAGTGACCATATTAACATAACATTTGACATTATATTTAACATTGATATCGAAGTTTCAACAAAACCTCGAATAATGAAACCGTCCTTTACAAACAGGCATTTATACCAGAATATCGCTTCCCTTGAAGTAAAACGAATTGTTGGTTTTTGATAGAAAAAGAATTGTTTGAAGTAATTTTAAACAAATAAACTCGGAATAATGGACTTAGGTTTTAATGGGAGAGATTCTTTACCAGTTTACAAGCCGACTATATGGACAACACCATGTTTAATCTCGAAATCGTAAAAATTATGTACTCAGTATTAGTGTTCCAGTGGTAAGAATTAGAAACTGAATCGCTTGCATAATAGTGAAAGCTCTCCGATGATTGACTGTTTCAAGGGTAACGAGAAGATGACCTCCTATTGCTGTCAGTCAGATCCTTATGGGTAGCGTTAACAAGGAGTTAATTTTAATCAGATTCGTCTGTTGTGCATACTTGAAGGGATAATTTATTGCCTTTAACTGGCAAAGATTTTGGAGCAATGCGGTATTTAGGGGACATCATTCTACTGGAACTCGTCCTCATATTAATAGCCTTCTTCACATGGTGGTCTTAATGCAAAAAAAAAGAATAATCAATTATTATGACAAAAATCAGTCTTGAGCAAATTCTAAATAAAAGATCAACACATGTAAAAAGCATACCTAATATAGTTCACTCGTATATATCTAATAGTTTGTGGCCACGAACATAAAACTCCCGTTGAATCATTGCAAATAGACAACATTTGTCATTGACATTTTGTTAATTGTAATAAGAAATACATTTTTTGTCTTGCGATGGGGTGCTTTATTAAACAAAATTACCTCTGAATTTGAGTGATTAGGATCTTTAAATTTTACTTAAATTTTAGTTTACAGTAATATTGTCTATCTTAAAGGAATCAAATTGAGCCTCTATAATTACTATTGTGAAGTCATTTCTAGTTTAGGATTACCTGGGTCATTTTTATCCCATGTGGTCATTTTATATTTCAACGGGGTCAAATTTATTGCAACACCGGCCGATTATAGCTCCGACATTCGTATATATTGTATCAAAATCGAAATATAACACATTATCTGAGATCAAATTCCGTGTAGTTTGCGCTTTCTGCAGAGAAATGATTTGGTAAAAATGTATGAATGCCAAAGATATTAAATTTGTCTGATTAATCCGCCACTTTTCTATTGGTTGTATTAGACTTGATATATGTGTAGCCTTGAAGTTTCCTTCCTTGAAGTGACATTATGCTCATATTGTCATCGTCAAGTTGTACTTAATTGACAACATATTTCAAAATATTGCCTGTTATAATTGTGATTTTCCAACAGTCCATATTGGAAAAAGTTTTGGTAGAATATATATCATGTCTGAAATATAAAAAGACTGCCGCACTCTTTTTATAAATTGACATTTTCAGGTAAATTCTGATAGATATTTAGAGACATTTCTTTGGGCCACGTGTGTATTTATAGCTCATGCGAAGTAAATTATGAAATTGAAAGGAATTCTTACAAAATGTAAACTTGTTCTGACTTTTACCTGCTCATTTACAATATACGCTTGTAGGGCATAATGCCACTTTAAAAGGTGACCGAATAATATTATTTGTTCAATCTTCGTATGACCTTAGAATATGTAGAATTATTTGAACCAAAAGTACGTGCAACAATTTTGGTGTCGAATTTTCTGCCCTTTAAAATGAAAATATGTGCCTATTTCCAGTGCAGATAATTCACAATCAATTTATGCATGCTCTTACTTTATTCATGTAGATAATAATTGATTTGAAATTTCAAGAATTGGTTCAGAATTTCTTCTTTATGTTTCGTTTAAACTAAATAATCCGTTTTTGTTATAAAATTTTATGTTAACCTTCACAAAATAGGAACAAAAGGTGAAAATGTTTCATTGTGTCCCATCAAATTGTGGCCAAGGCTAAAAAACAACACTTAAGACACACTGTTCAAGTAAGATTGATAGAGCTATGTTTCAGTTATCTGTTCTTAAACTGTCCTTAAAATAGCACAAAACATACATCAATAAATGCAAATAACTCGAAAATGAATCGATGACTTTAAAATGTCTTCGTTACTAAATATCAACCTTGTTCCTGTTATCATAAATTAAAATCAAATTAAGTTAAAAAGATTAATTATACAGTTTTTATTTTCTGTTTTGCTATGCATATTAATATGACAATTATAGAATACATAACATATTTACTGAAATAAACATTCTTAAGGAACATACAAAAAAACTAAATGTCACTCAAACAGTCTCGTTTTTTTTGTGATTTCAAGCAGGTTTGTAACTTCTTTGTCTTGGTTTGCTTGGATTATCATATATCATACATCATATGATAGGTTTACTTCCTTATAATATTACATTTTGATTGTGAAATGTGTATGTATATGATAATAATCATTCAAATATGGCTCGAGTGCACATAGTCATTTCACGGGAAACAAATTATCTTGGTACAGTAACTTGCATTATATGTATATAAAGAATCAAAACAATATTCCATCTGTTAACTTATAGAGTATAGAAATAGCAAGAGATAGAAATAAAAAAATAAATCAGTTAATATGTATAATGAGTGTGTTTGAGAAATGTCATTTAAATACATCTTATTTATTATAAACATTGAATGATAAGTGAATCAAATGAACAAAAGGGCAGAATGATAATTAAATTATTGTTTGAGTTCTAACTTAGTGTTTCCCATTTTCATTTTCACATTTTCTGAAATAAATGTCAGTAGTATTATTCCACATATGCCCCATCACTCCCGTTGTTTTTATTTGGCGGGAAAACCCTAGGGCATTTTAAAAATTTAAAATGAAAAAGTGTAGGCCCATGAGGGCTTTGACGTGAGGTTGATCTTGGTCTGCCGGCCGCACGTGTAAATTGTGTAGACGCTAGCGGGCTAAGAGCACATACCTGATAACTTTGTATTAACCTCTACTTGCGATTGTTCAATGCTTATGATTTTCTAAATATCTTACTTATCATATCAATTAAGAACGACCAGTGACGATTCCCAGATTAGTTTTCTTCGGTACAGAGCTACAGTTGACATACAAATAAAACTGTAGTTTGTTTCCGATTTACTAGATTGAAATATATTTTTTTCTGGTCCTCGGGATCATAAATTCCAGCATATTATAGTTGGAGATTCACAGAATACCGCTTAAGGCGGTGTTGGAGGCATGATATTTTGCACTTTTACATTATCTCTAATAAAAAGACACTAAACCGGGTCTGCAATATTTTCATATATTATTGTTGTTTCATTGTTTCCGAAGGATCATCCCTTAACCAGAATGATGATAACAAAAATTAATTTCACTGTTTACTGTTTTTATATCTGAATGTGAGAGAAGTGTTTATTTATCCTCTACAAGCGGAAACTTCAGCAGAAATTAAATAACATCGTATATAAATATATCTACATATTACACACGGTGATTGCGTTTATACAAAGTTCATTAACGTGAAACAGTGTACCTGTCTCCTTGGCGTCCGTGCATATATAAATATTACTATTGCATTGGCACTTATAGCATTGGCTGACATGAAATTATCTCATTTTTTCTAAACTTAGTGTAATATACATCTTGTTCGAACTCTGAAACAAACGGACATCTGTAAAATGTTTTCAATTTGTTGTAATAAGGAAAATAAATGAAGCTTAAAAGCTGTTAAAAAGTGCTCCCGGAAGAAAAGAATCAGGAAAAATTCACATCATAGAGTTGGCCGGACTGTTAAATCGATAAAACTTGTGATATATGTTTTGCATAAACCTTTCTGTCGGTTAGCAGTGGCACAATATTTATTTATTCATAATTATTATTTCACTGAAAATTATACCGAATTGCTATGCTTGTGGTGTGAACTTGAAATCGTGATTAAAATTGTATAACTTCTTCATCTGTTAACTTTCTTTATCATATTCAATATATACTTTTTAACATACATGTATATACATTATTCAAGTTGACTAAAGTTCAGATCTTGTTTTACATACATGTAGCATTGTAAAGAAGCTGATTTAAATCAACAAACAAACAAATGTTAATATGTTATTGCATTTTAAGTAATTTATAAAGAATGTAGTTTGATTGGCCAGATATGAGTACTTGACGTCAGCATACAATGGCGCCAGTCTGGAAAACCAACGGGATTAGAATAAATAAAATGCTGCAACTAACTCCAATACAAATAATTATATGTTTATGTTCTTCAATACATTCGTCTCTGTCCACCGTCATTAACGCATCATCAAAAGATATTCTAAATATTACTAACCTACGGTAAAGAAAACAGAAGAAACTTATACATCTATTGCTGTACAAGCGTGTGGTGTCATTTTTAGAACTACAACATATATTCACAAACTCATTAAATGAGTCGACTGAGAATTAAACATAGAAGGATTTAAGAGAAATATGACCGGTTTTGTGTAAAAGAAAATAAGCTGACAGTTGGACTAATATCCTAAATTCGGATTGGCTGATAGCAACTCGTATTAGATAAAAATGTGAAAACAATACACATGTAATACAAATTCTACGATCGACCAATAACTTATCCTTGAATAAAACATTCGATTACGTTGTTTAAGAAGCACATTTTTTGTTCTCAAAAATGAATTGCACATAAGTCAAATTAATTTTGTTTTTGCTAGAGTTGCTGAAGAGTGATTGTTTTAACTAAATAAAGTAATGATTGTTGCTCAAAATAAATGACAATGAAAATAAAAGAAGATTTAGTTCTCTGGATGTGTTGGTGTATATTTAACATTTGTTCAGCAGAATTATCGAATATGTCATGGCCTTCATCAGAGAAAAACATTAGTAGCATGACTTTGATAGGAAATGGACAGAAGTTGATAGCATGTGGATTAAACCATTTGTATAGTTTAAATACAACAAACTTGCAGCTTATAAATGATGTTGTAATTGGTCCAGTGGACGGCATTGATAACAATGTGAGACTTGTCATATACAACAAAACAGAACCTAACAATGACGCTTATATAACAACATGTGATACCTTGAATTTATATTGTGAAATCAGACGATTAAGTGACATTTCAGATGTCGTAGGGCGACTAGAGCCACCTATCGCGTCAGAGGGAGTACAAGCTTTAATGACATCGTATGAGAAGCCAAATTGGCGAAATCGATGGGACACTTTCCTATTTGTTGCCTGTCCGCATGCCAAAGTCCAAGAAAACAGATGTGTAAGTCCAGGAATTAATTGGTTCTTAAATAGCGGCTTCCCAAGGCCAAGGACATTATATCAATTCAAATCTATTACTGAAACGAACATTACAACCGAAAAATACGTTGATGCTTTCGTAGTTGATCAATATCGGTTATTTTTCAGTTTGCAAAAACATAAAACTTCACAAGAGAGAATAAGTAGAGTAGCCCATGTGTGTCAGTACTTTACCAAAGGATTCCATGAAAACCTGTATACTACACCAAGGACGTATGCTGATATGCCAATAGAATGTGGACATTTAAAGGAAATACGCGCAGTAAAGAAAATTGTGTTTGACACGGAGACAGTTTTTGTTGCTGTCTTTGATGGTTCAGTGAAATCGTCTGTTTGTGTTTACACGATGAGTGAAACAAAGCGAAAGTAATCATTTTCATTTACATTTTTGATAATATACTCGTTCGTAACTTATTATAAAGTAATAGTTTTCCCATATCACATGACTTTAACAGTCGTTTTGTATAGCGAAAACTGTTATTCCTAGCATACCAACTAAATTAGCCTATTCCATATTCAAATTTGTCTATCTAACTAAATGAAGTAATTTATATATCGTAAATATTTCAAAAAGATACAAGTAATATGAATGTTTTACAAAGACAACTCCGATACATATTACATAATATATAATACAACAGAACACGTAACATAAGATTATCATAACATAAGACAATGTTATAACGTTATGAAACTAATATACAGAATAATATATCACTTGTATTGACCGAGAGAAGAGAGAAAAGAAATACATAATTATACTTAGACTAGTCATTTGTATGGAATGTTACTTTTTAACACAAACAGTTTTTCTTCATTATAGGGAATGAGATGTCTTTGGTAGTTTTTAATAACGATTTTTTTAAATTCTCGATAAGCGGGCAAGACATTTTTGAAATCATCGCTTAACCTACCAAAAAAGTGGGAGCTGAATATCTTGTTTGGCAACGTTCATATTCTGTTTACTCTTATCATTTATATTACATAACGGGTACACATCTTCCTAAAACAATTTCTAAGTATGTCAAAAGGAATGTGAAAACATTATGGTTCGACAATAATTTTTAATTCATTTTATCAGTTTCTTCTCTACATTCCTAAATATTTTTTAAGAAACGGCAATAGATGAACCGAGTAAAGCGTAAAACGACATCGTCGAGTGATAAAGTGTCTTTATCCCATCGTGTTAGTGCAGAACACTTGAAAATATACTGTGTAAAATATATACTACATAACTTTATTTAACCGTATCCACTGACAATTTAAAATGATACTAATTCAAAGTACTTCAAACTTTATAATGTGAGTGACAGGAAACAGCTGCCCACCAAACAAAGAAACGCCATTTACTCATCTAGGCAAAGATATGATAAGATATTGTTTTTACATTTTATACTATCTGAAAATTATTAAGTTGTCAATAACTGGAAGTATTTCTCTGTCGTTTCTATTCCTTAGCTGTAGTGTAAGTGAATAAACACGTTTGTATCGTGTAAAAGAATTATTGGTCTTAATAATAAAACTCAGGTATCATTCTAGATGAGATATATAATGATAGAATAACTAAATCTTGAATAGTAGTTTCACTGAATTTCTGAGTGTTTCTATTTATTTATACATACCAAAGCTCATATTTATATCCATTGTAGGTTTGTTGAAAACATCAAAGACTGTTATAGTGGTAAACGTGTTCCTGAAGAAGAAGATTACATCAAATTTACAGAGGATTCCGTCCATGTGAAAATGCTGCCGTATGTTTTTGTGTTTAATTTTTTCTTGAATGTCCATTTAATAATTAAATTCTTACATTGATTCACTTCTTTTCGGATCTTGATAAATATTTCATACAGTAAATTCAAAAATTACAGTATTTATTTAATTTTACCTATGAAATATGGTGCTATATCAGTCAATATATTTCATATTTGTAAAAAATAAATATGAAATAAAAATATGAAAGTGGGCGGAGTCAAAACTCAAATTTATTTTAACGGACTTCTTTTGCCATTTTGTTTAAAAAATCTGATAAATAAAAAACAAATTTTGTTGAATTTTGTTTTGAAAACTATCTAGATTGATAGAAAATCGTAATCCAAACACTAATATCTTTAATTCAGTCAATAACGCTGTACAGACGTTTAAATAGTTATTTACGTCACGTCACAATGTAGCGCCAAGCCTCGCGTGCAAATCAAGACGCGTCTTTAAGATTTAATATATTACTGCGCGCTGTATAAGTGCAGTTGCGTAGCAAGCAAGGGGATTTGTAACCATTTTTCTTTGACAATGAAATTAAATAAAAAGGTTAAATAAAATCATGTTTCGTGAAAATATTCCATATTTCACTCAAACGAAAAAATATCCTCTTAATATTACCCTACGCCAAGAGTTTAAACATAACGTTATATTTTGTAAATAAACCAGCCTCTTATGTATTGTTTTGTAGAACTGTTAAAATGAAGAAAATCCTTCATCAAAATTAAAGAATGAGCCTATTAATAATAAACTTTATTTTAATTTTACATTTTCAATTTTGCTGATTTGGACGTTCTTTGCAGATCTTTATTTCTTTCTTTTTATTGCTGCTTATCATTGTGACTTTTGTTCAATTGCTTCTCTTCAGTTTCTGGGTTTTTCATTTGATTCTCTTACGTGTGGAGTTTCCTATAGCTTATTTTAGTGTAAAGTCTTTTTTGTTTTGTTTTTCTTTTTTTCTTTCACTTCAGGGTGAGTTTTTTTTATTGTTTTCCCTCAGCGTGAGGATATATTCTGTTGTTTGTTCTTCAGCATAAGTTTTTCTGATTTTTTTTTCTTTTCAGAGAGAAAATTTGAATTATAAAACGGATGAATACTTTTTGTGCAATACAGACACACTAGGAACTTATCACAGTGTGATTGGCACCCATGTTTTGTCTAAACAGCCGGCTGTGACGTATACTAAACAATTGACAGCTCTGACATTGTCTGTAGTGGATACAAAGATCATTGCATTCCTTGGTACTGAATCTGGTGACATTTTAAAGGTGATATTTAGTTAATTATGATGATTGTCAAGCTTGTACGTCTCAACAGATTTATACATGTCCGCGGTTGTTTTTTTAGCTATATATTTTTCAGCCGATCCGTTATTGTATAAAACGTAAATTATGGAAATCAATATCTATTATGATAAATACCTTTTGTATAACTAAAAATAAACTGATAAAAAACTAAGCAGCGCAGTCAAATTAGATATAAGATAAAAACGTGTAAACTGAGAACACTGTACAGAGATAAGTACCTTCAGAAGATGTTCCCATTGTGGACAAATCTAATTTTAACTCTTGCATAAGAAATGGTATAACTTATATTATACAGACGTTTGAAAATTACCGATTCATTTCTTGTTAATAACATAAAAACGTTAACTCATTAGGCGCAGAAATGAGAATGAATCCACTCATATTTGGACCACGCCCGTCCCGTGTGAACATGAAAACATTGTGAACTCTGAAAGGAAATATTCCTCATATCCTTATGTGTTATATAGTTTATTTTCCTGCATTTTGTTTAAAAAATGATATAACATGTACTGTGTCTATGAATGTCAACGATATTTCTGTGTAAGGTGTGATATTTCTGCCCTACGCAAATTGCGCAATATTTTTTCCAGTCTGCTTTGCGTAGTAATGGGCTGCGATTTTAAATGGTCTGGATATTGGAGAGTGTTGTTAAGTGTGAGATACATTACTGATATAACATACTTGTATATTCCAAATAATAAATTGTTCAAGGACAAAGTATTCAATTGTTCTTCATATAAGTTAAATGTTCATACAAAATCCTTTAGAACTTTTATCAATTGTACAAACATACAAACATTTGAAACACCTTTAAAGAATGTTTCCATTCTAGACAAATCCTGTTTTTGTATGCAGAGAATAGAATAGTTCATATATTTTCAGATTTCTTTATTGGTGCGAAATTATTTTGTTAATGTTGTTAACTTTGTATGTTCTGGGTTTTATTCTTCTTTTTTTGTCTTTGCCTATAGAAATGATGTGCATTTCCATTTATATAGGCTGTTGTTTACCCCAGCGATTCCGCTTATTATGTACAGCAATTTAGGACACCCAACATTGGAAGTAGGGTCAAAAAGGACATGTTCACATCATCCGATGAAAAACACATCTTCGCTCTGAGTAAAACAAAGGTAAAACTTATCATATTGAAAGTAGTAATATTTTAAGCATTATCATACAATACTTTTTTTCAAAAGTAAGATATGTTTTATGGTCAATATAAAAATGAGCGGCAAAGTATTGTTCACAACTTCCTATCAACATGTCCGTTAATTTATCAAGGAAAATAAAGGAAAATAAATGTGTGAATCTAAAAAGGGTATTAAGACTTCTGACTAATTGTAATGCACTGGGTGTTTTTTAACATAAAGTACAACATTCCCTGAAGCTTTCAGATTCATTTTTTTTAAGATCATCTATCAAGCGCATTTATGTCAAAGGTATAAGCAAATCAAGCTCGTTTAAGAGAGGTCGATGGTTCTTATTAGTAAATGTATATAGTTGTTCTTCTGCCTCAAAACCGACGTCAATAAGAATTTACACATACAATATACTTTAGATTATCATAATGTAACATTATTTCTAAACTGTCATTCTTCTTGTATATACGAGATCGTATGTATCTGTTTCTAAGTTAGTATCTATGTTAAATAAGGTGTGCAGTATGGTGTTGTAACAGTACGTGTCCTGATATACACGTGATATGCACGTGCCAGTTGTCGAGTAAATTTCTTCTTCTGTTATTCAATTTATCAGTCTATATTTATACCATATATAAATGCTTTGAACCTCTAAGAAAATTCATTTATTTTGGCTAATGTGACTCTTCCATGTCATGGAAATCATTTCATCAGTTAAATGTAAATGACTGCAACCGTACAAAAAGTAGACTTTCAAAGAAAATCCAAAATAAGAAATGGCGTCAATTTAAACATATTAATTCTATTGAAGGAAATTGTACATTGTTTAAAAAGACACGCTCAAATTAGTTGTTATCTAATAATAGAAAGATTACATTATTATGAGTTGCATGTTTTAACTCTTACATTGTCTTACACATCGATATATCATGAATAAAGTATCATGAATAAAGTATCGTGAATAAAGTATTGAATAAAGAATCATGAATAAAGTATCATGAATAAAGTATCGGGATTAAAGTATCATGAATTAAGAATCATGAATAAAGTATCATGAATATCCATCTCAATATCTTTCAAGTTATCAGGATCTGACTTTAATAATATTACAAATGTTCTCAAAGATGTTGAGGTCTGACAACTAACTTGTCAACTCCAAAACACTACATGCTTTTCATTCTACTATGTCACTTTTTTATTTCCTTCGGTTATATTTTACTGTTGATTCCTTGATATACTTATCTTCTTTTCGCATAACTTCTTCTTTATTAGTGTTACAGTCAGTTAATATACTTAACACATGTAATGAATATTCTTGACAAAGATTAACCCTTACACTGCCATAGGGACGGCATGTGCCGTCCTATGCCGTCCGTATTATTTTCGGCGTATTTGCCATTTGGACGGCTTTTGCCGTTTCTATAATAATAATAATAATAATAATAATAATAATTATAAAAATAATATTAATCATAATAGATATATAGATATTTATACTATCGACAGTAGTTATTATTATACTAGCAGATTTGGTAACATTTATATTATTATAATACTAATTACAAATAATAATAATAAAATTAATTAATAATATAGTAATTTCTTAGAAAACCTTCTGGCAAATAGATGATCAATAAATAAAAAAACCCTCTGGCAGCGAAAGGGTTTATACCGGTTCATTGTAAATTGACTGCAAAGCAATCTCCAAGAGGTAAAAACATTTTTTATTATTGGCACGTATCACTTTTGAATGATAACTTGTTTTTAATTGTGTTTATTTTTTGAAGTCGTTTTGATTGTTGTTTTTTTTTCTGCAGAATGAACATGACCTTATAAAACAATCAATCACATCAACATTTCAGGTTTTCAAGATTCCCGTGCAGTCATGTTCTGAGTTTGTGACCTGCGGTTGGTGTTTATTTACTAAAGATCCATATTGTGGCTGGTGTTTCTTAGAAGAAAGGTAAAACTGATTCATTTAAATGTTAAATGTCACTATTTCTAATTAATCTATAATATATGAAACAAAGCACCGATTGATGTGTTAACACAGTCTGTTTTTAGGACAACGAATATTATGTAAATGATTTTTTTTTGAAAATATTCTAAGTTAAAAAAGGACATAACTCCTAAAATAATTATTTCAGTATTATGCTCCTTATCATACAACTGAATCATGCAAATTAAGTACAACAAGTATCATGTTGATAGCGGTGATAGTTTTGAAGTCAGTTTCATAATAAAAATTCTTAGTAAAGATTGTCTTAACTTGTCACTTTTGTCAGTATAATGCTCCTCTCTTACAACTTTGTCTAATCGTGAAAATCACACAGTTCTATCTTGATACTTCTAATAGTTTTGAAATCACTCAAGTTAAATATTATTTTTAAACAACAATTATCTGAGTTTAAAAGGGCTTAATTCCAAAAAAAGAAGCTTTCAGAATCAACACGACGCCTTGTCATTCTGAATGTAGTTTAGATAGTTGTGACGTCATTTTTGTTGTATCTGTACATTAATGTGTTAAGTGTACAGACAAATGAAGAATTTGTGTATTGTTTGCTACATAAGTATCCATTATTTAAATATTATATATTTTCAATCTATTTATATCAAAATAATTGATGGCTATTTTTCCGACACACATGTGAATGTAATGTCTCAGTGCGGGACATTACAACAAATATGCACGGAGACTTTAAAATTACACACTGTCTACGAAAGTGTTAAACTTCTGTTATGCAATAGAAATATTTCTAAATCTTATTTGATATTAGGACTTTAATTTCTTAAATTCTTAGCAATACAGAATTATTCTTGATTTGCCAGCTGGAACGAAAGATCCGTAAGATTGAAAAAGAGAAAATGTCAACTTTAGTGTGTGTGATTTTACTCAGAATCATACTGGTTAAACTATCATGCCTTTCCTATCAACTTCAGTCTTTGGAAAAAAGAATATCATTCTCTATAATGTCAAATGCCTATGTATGCTTTTATCATTACATATGAAACATAAATATACATTACTGTTGATGTGTTAATCATCATTCTATTAAATAAGGAAGTTAAGTATTTGTCAGAATAATCGACAGTTTCACTGTAGATATTTTTTTTGCAACGAGTTAATTTTTCTCTACAGCTATACATTGATTGCGGTGTAGTATATCATCTTTAAACCAGTTGCTTAGCGTATACAATTTATCTACATTTTATGTCAAATCGTGAGGCTAGCAAAATATGTTAGTTTTGATCAGTTAGAGAAGCACACTTTTATTGTGTAGCGTTAATGTTTTTGAGAAGAGAATTTGTTGTTTTGAAGGGAATTTTGTTGAATTGTTGAAGTGGGTTGAATATAATTGCGGTGATCTTAATTTATCAGGAAGTTGTTTTGGTTGTTGCAGTTTATTTGGTTATTGAGTTATATCTCTTTGGTAAGATATACTTGGTTGATATTGGTTGAATGTTTGGAGTGATTTTGTTTTGTAAAGATTATATTGGTTGATGCTTTGTTTTTGAGGATATCTGTAAATATTGGGTGCTTTAGTTTGCTTTTCTGATGCTGATTAGATTTTGTGAAGTAAATATTGTTGGTTGAAGGTTTGTGGTTTATACTGCATCTTAGAGTTGTAAAAAATATTCATTTTCGTGTTCTTCATTTTGTGGTGATTTTATTGTTTTGTTCGATCATAAGTTGTTTTGAGCTTGGGCTCGCCAGGTGTCTAGTATTGTTTCGTATAAAAGACGTATACGTGAAAAGATATTTCGTATAACTGGTTGATGTGTGTTTGGTTTGGTCAGAGATTGTTGTTTAAATGAATATATCTTTTTTGAGATTTGAGAAAACATATAACAAACCCTGAAAAAATAGTGTTAACTAAACAATTACATGTTAGTTTTTTCCAACTGAGAATGTTTCAATTTTATGTCAGGCGGTGCTGTCCAGCCCCCAATATCTTTGAAATTGTTTCTTGTTTTTATTACTTAACCTTTCCTTAGATTAAATAACATTAAGGCAGTCATTCTCCCGACAGTATTATATAAACAATATCAAACATATTTTCTTCTAAATGTTTCCTATTAAAATGATCGTGTTTCACAATTGAGCACATACGTGTACATATTAATTCAGAAATTAATTCTTTGTTTCTGACACAATGTTATTCACAAAGACAAAGGACATAATAAAACAATGCAAATGACCATGTGCAACAATTGAAGATTTGTGGTAAATTGCTGTCATTTCATTTACGGTATTTACCTTGATTTAGTGTGAAATTGAGTTTTGGTTTCCTTGCTTATTTCCTCCGTCTTATTATTATTACTAAAAGAAAGGAAAACATCAATTTTGTTTAGTTAAATAATAAAAATTGTAAAACTGAAATCGTAATATTGATGAAAAGAACAACAAAATAATTATCACTGATAAAGAAAACATACATTATTTCACTTACATCATTTTAATAAGTATCAAAATCCCAAACGCATAACCAATACAGATGTTTTAATATTCCTGGACATGTAAAACAAATAAATCAGTAAACCTATATATATAAATATCATTTTCCCCCTAAACAATCAAGCTTTTTCAAGTGGTCAATAAGTAAACAATGGAGGCAATGTTTTTTCAATTTTTGTATGGAATGCTTGAATAGGTTTTAGTAATGGAAACTCATAGAACTGTCCATTTATATGATAGTATAGTGCCTCGGTCTAATCATTCTATCACATATTGGACATTTATTTGACTTTCTCCTTAACATTCTAATAACCATTCTACTTAATAGGTAATTTTACAAGTCTACGTTAAAACGGGCATGACTCCATAAATATAGTTTGTAGAATAATGTCCATTGTCTCACAACTTCCTGTTGTAATTCTAGTCACACTGTGTTAAAATAATTGAAATCGACGTCGCAGTCATAATTCAGTACCCTTTTCTTCGAACGTCGAGCTAAAAATAAATATTGTTTCACACTTTATAAAAATCAAGATGATTATGTTATTGGGAGTGTTGTATTTAAGTTTTATTCTCTGAATCTTAAAGTTCAAGATCAAAGAAAAACAATATTTTAGATATAAAAACATTTCGATGTGACTCATTTCTATATTTAGTATAAAATAATGAAAATGTCGTTGGTTATATCCATTTTCATATATCTCTAGATGTAGTACAAGAGATGCTTGCCCAGCAAATAAGGAGTGGATATCAGCTTCAAGTGGTGAACAATGTCCACATGTTGAAGATATTACTCCAACAGCAATGTCTGTTTGGGAAATAGAAACGGTATGATATGATGGCCTATCAATTATTATACACTGCGTTCTCACTTCCTTCATTATAATTGTATTTTCTGTTTATCGTTGCTAAAGTTACTTCCTTTTGTGATACTCCCTTTTTAGGAATTATTATATAATGCATTCATTCTGAAAATGTATATGACAAATTAAAAAAATACCTGGCCTTTTTCAATGTTTGTGATTCTTGCTTCAGAATTTTTTATTCTGAAGCATAAATACCGGTAATACTGATTTAGCCGGTGCAAGAAGGCATGAAAAATGTTTAACAATTCATTGTCTGTAACACAAAAATTCGTCAATGACCGAGATAAAATGTGTTCGCTTATTTAACTTAAGTATCTTTGCGTCCTTTACTATGATTTTGTACCTTTTCCAGGTTTTATATTGAAAGGTTGTGTTTGTTTAAAAACATTTATTATTTGATGCAGACACAATCATTGCGTCAAAAATGATTTTAGAACAATTTTAGATAATTAGTGATAAACAGACAAAGGACATACTTGTAAGTGTGGCCGAGCTGTTTATATAATGTACGTTGACCGATAGCAATGAACATAAGTATTGCAATTAAAATATTAACTATAATGTGACTTATATTTAACATATTTGATTGATTGAATTGTGTATAACGATGTATTTTGTACAAGTCTGAAATAAAGTTTCTGTTCTGTTCTATATAATTTGGAAACTTCATCATTGTTTTATTGGTAGCTCAATATAACAGTTTCAAACGTATTGCAAGGCGTCAAGGTGTCGTGTTTGTTCCATAGTAACGAGATCGAGGGTGACTTTAATCACACTGAAAAAGCTGAGGTATCCAGCGATGGCCTATCGGTAAAATGTAGGCCAACAAATATATCTGCTATAGAAAACAAAATTAAAGGTAAATACTTATTGTCATATGTACATTGATTAAGCGAAACAAATTTTGATTCTCAACCTTCTTGAGCCTTTGCCACCATCATAAGGTCAGGTCACCAGCCCGCTCATATGTGCAGTCTGACAAGGCTCTATACTGTTGGTAGCTCATCTTTTGTTGTTTTATATGTTTCTATATGTATAGATATATAGAATAGTATTTATTTTGATATTATCATAGCCAACAATCAAAATATTTTAATAATTAACATCAATTATTATGAAGAAATATTTATAGGTTTTACTTCCTGTTTGGTATAATTCTATGTTTAAAATAGGTGGTTCTACTGTTTGTTTCTCAAGATATGTAAATTGTGGTATTATATTGGTTAATGACTTCCTAAAAAAAGAGGTAATTTACTATCATCTTTTAACTTAAAATCTGGAAACAAAGTGATCCCTCGGAAGCATTAATCACAACAAAATTACAGGAGAATTGCAGACTCGGTTTGATTGAGTCTGTACATGAGGGATAATGAATACGTGCAACATCCCTCACGCTCCCTAGCACTGGCTTGAGCGGTACTCAATTCTCAACACTTAATAGTGCTGGTATCAATGATCCCGAAGGACCAGAAAATATAACAACACAGAAGTTTTATATAAATGCCAATTTTTTAGAGTATCAAAACATTACAAAGTCTATTAGGAGATTTTTAAATCAACTGTCTTTTAGACACCTACCTCGGAAGAGGAAATGCCTATTCAGCATTTAATGATCAAGATAATCAATAGTTAAAAAAGGGATGTAGACAAATCTATGATTATATTCTTAGAGCAAATATATTATCTATTGCTAAATGGGAAGATGAACTCAATTAAAATGATGATGTTAATTGGAATGGCATTTATGGGCTCCCTTTTAATAATACAAAGGATACAAATTTAAAATGGTTTCAGTATAAAGTTAATCGCAGGGTACTGGCAAGAAATTATCTTTTACATAAAATGAGAATTAAAGATATTAATACATGTTCTTTTTGCAACAACAATATTGAAACTATAAAACATTTATTTTGGGATTGCCAATTAATTCTTCTTTTTTGGAAGATATAAAATCATGGATAAATTCAAAATGTACAGATGTTAACACACAGTGGACCTTAACAGGTATTATTCTAAGCAATGAACACTTAGATAATGCAACATTGAATTTAATTCTGTTAGGAAAGTATTCTCTTTATCAATGCAAATTATAGACCACAGCTCCAAGCGTTCAACATTTTAAAAATTATGTCGCTATTTTTTTGAAAACACAATAATTATATAGTGCCAAAAAAATAGGGTTTCAAAGTTTGACAATTTATGGGGCAGACATCTTTCTTTGCTGCCTAATTGAGACTTATGTTTTAAGATCATTTATTTTACCTTGATCCACTCTGTTTTGCACCCAATGCCCGTTTTGTATCTTTCTTTCTTAAACACCTTGAATGACCTTTAAATCTTTCTTATGATATTAATGCATGAAGTATTCATGACAAGAGGTACAACTTTTAATAGGATATCACTTTTTGAATAGTAGGAGTTGTTTCCCTTGACTTAATGACATTTTTTCAATATAAGTTCTGTAAAATTGGAATTTTTCTTTTATGTTAAATAAGTGCTATAATATTGTAAAGTAATAAGTTCTGAAAAAAAATCTTTTTCCAATGTTATATTAAGATAAGTCTTGTATCTTTGGTAAGATACTTATGAATCATTATCTTTATTATATTTTTAAACTTTGAAGATTCTAAAAAGAAATCCTTTATTCCTCCTTATATGTATAACACATATAGTGTATGTATATGCATAAATGTTTTGTATTGTGTAAAAAATCTGAAAATTAAAAAAAAAATATTTATAAAAAAAGTTATTATTCTATACTGCATTTTTATTTTACTTTAGTATGAATTTTTTTCTTTTTATTTAAGGTTCTCTTGAAATGAAGATTGCAATATTGGCAAATAGTTCAACTACAACTATAGAAGGAAAATTTACGATATATAGATGTGAAACCTTTGTAAGGTATAACAAATGAATTTTATATTTAAAAAAAAAACCGATTACAATACTATACATTGTGCCACATTGTTGACAACTAGTCGGATTTTATTTCCGTTATTCGTACTCCTCAATTTCATCGGCCCATTTTCCATACAGTGATTTATTTTCAAGTTTTCATGTATGAACTGTAATCAATTATAAAAGATTTAAGTATTATTTCTTTTGATTATTCATATTTCAATGATGTTACAACTTACAAAGTTCATGCATTTATTTTGATTTAACGGTTTACGCTTGATCAACATCTGTTTGAACAATATTAACAATATTAACGGTATACAGACAAGAACTTCTCTGTATTATAATGCTTTTCTTTCTACAACTCTATGAGGCTGGAACGACCTCCCTGCTGAATTTCAAAATGTACATTCACTATCATCCTTTAAGCGTCTTCCGAATAGTGACCTAACAAAATGTCCAAAATATTTTTATACAGGTATCAGAAAATGGCAAATAAACCATGCACGTCTACGAAGTGAGTGTAGTCTTAACTATCACTTACTCAGAAAAAGATATAACAAACTCACCACTGTGTCAATGTGGTCTTCCAGAAACAAACTTCTATTTTTAGCCTAACTATACGAAGTATATGGACAGCTGTCCTACTCGCTCCGGCGTCGGCGTCCACATTTCAGATTAAAGTTTTGGTGCAGTAAAATGTTTTTTACTGTAACTTTATCATTTCTTAATGTATCAACTTCAAACTTCAAATTTATGTTCCTTATCATCAACCACATCTTATGGGACAAGGTTAATAAATGTAACACCAATATTTTTAGATTTATCTCCCCTTGAACTTAAAATTTTCCTTGAAAATATGTATGCCAGGGGGCGTGGACGGTAGTTTGCAATTGACAGTACCGTCCATGAACAGGCTCAATCAAACCGAGCCTGCAATATTTTCAATTTTGACGTGTTGGACTTTCTTTAGGGATTTTTACTTTCTCTATTTTACTATACCTTTTTTCATTTCAAAAGGTATCAACTTGAAACTTCAAACATATGTTCCTTATCATCAACCACATATTATGCGACAAGGTTTATAACTCTACCACCAATATTGTTAGATTTATTTTACCTTGAAGTTAAAATATTCCTTAAAAATATTATTTTTACTGTAACGTCTTTATTTCTTAAGCGATCAACTTCATACTTCAAATATATGTTGCTTATCATAAACACATCTTACGTGACAAGGTTTATATCACTAGCACCAATATTTTCAGATTTATCTCCCCTTGAACATTTTTAAGGACTTAAAATAATATCCTTATAAATATTACTTTTTACTGATACTACTTCAACTTAATACTTTAAATATATATTCCTTAACATAATCCACATCTTATGTGACACGGTTCATAACTCTAGCACCAATATTGCTAGAAAAAGCTCCCCGTTAACTTTTTTTACTTTTTTTACGATTTTTTTACTTGAAAAATGTTTTTTTTTACTATAACTTCTTTAGTTTTAAAGGTATGTACCTCAAACATCAAATACATATTCCTTATCATCAACCAGGTCTTACGTAACAACGTTCATATCTCTTGAAGCAATATTTTAAGATTTATCTCCCTTTGAACTTAGAATTTTCTTTAAGAAATATTTTAACTTCTTTACTTTTAAAGGTGTCTTCTTCAAACTTCAAATGTATATTTCTTATCATTAAACACATGTTGTGTGACATGGTCCATAACTCTAGTCATTTTCTAGTATGACTTTTTACAGAATTATTCCCACTTGAACTTTGAATTTAAGTTAACTATAAATTCTTATCATAAGAAGAAATATATTGATATTAAAACTCATTTTTCTTTCATAGTTTTCTCTTCAATTTAATTATTTGAGCTTCGCTGTCTCCTGTGACAGCTCTTGTTTCTTTAAATGTCAACAATACAATAATATCCGAAATAGCCTGTTTCACACTCTATCGGCTTTTTGTAAAGTTACCCTTCCCACACTACTAAGAAGTAACAGCATTTTAAATGACGACATTGACACCTGTATATATTACAGACAGTTCAAATATATATCCGAGATAGCAAGCGGTTTCCATACTCCTTTGCAAACTCTGCTTACTCCATTGACTTACTGAATAGATTCTATAATATCGTTTTTTTAATACAGTGTATTTGCACCATTTATACTCCAATATATTTGAATTTATAATAATATGAATCTATTTCGAAAAGGGACTAGAGGTCATGAAGCCTGCATATCACAGATAAGACGTCAAAAGACAAAGTTAAAAAAAGCAAGCTACATATCCTAAGGGTGATTCAACATTATTCAAGCAGGAATATTGGAACCACCCAAATGAAAAAACAAATAGATGAAATTAAAAATACCACAAACACAACAATAATGTCGTGTTGAACGATCTATAAGGATCGGAAATATAACATCGTTGATTGAAGGTATGAGACTTTTGTCATCAAGTCACTCCGGAAAGACAACTCTTGCATTTCACCACTTAAAGATAATGGACGACTTTTCAACCCTGCACGCGACAAGGCCAACATCTTAAACAAGCAATATTTGTCAGTACGTATTTACTCATGAAGCAGTCAATAACATCCCAACACCAGCAGGAACACCTTTCCTGGAAATCGACATCATGCAAAATAACGGCCGGTCTCCCTCACAAGCCTATGCTGCAAGCTGCACGAGCATGGCATTGCCATGAAACATCTGGAAAGACATAACATCCTACAAGGTTGCTTACAAAGTTTCAGAGCAATGAGGAGCTGTGAAACTCAACTCCACACCCTTGCGCATGAGCTGGCGGAATCATTTGACAAGAGGATCCAGACAGACATGATTATATTGGTCTTTAGCAAGGCGTTTAATCGGGCACCACATCAAAGACTCCTCAAGAAGGCTCATCACTGTGGTACCCGAGGCAGGACTCTCCAATGGATCTCTTCCTTCTTAAATTGCCGCACACAAAGAAGAAGAAGTCCCAGTCGTTAGTGGTGTCCCTCAAGGCTCAGTATTGGGGCCGCTTTTGTTCCTCATATTCATGAATGACCTTCCAGATGGACTACTTTCAAAAACTCGATTACTTGCAGACGACTGCATCCTGTATTGCCAGATCAAGTCCTTGACCAGCAGCTGCTTCAAGCTGACATGGATTCTCTAGCCAGGTGGCAACACTTGTTGGGCATGGACTTTCACCCTTAGAAATGCAACGTCCTGCGCGGAATCTCCTCTCCGAAACAACTATATCCTGAAAGGTATAACTCTGGCTGAAGAACAGGCATCAATATACTTAGGTGTGAACTTACAATCAGTCCTTGGCAAAATCACCAAAAAAGCTAACAACATGCTAGGCTTCCTTAAACCGTAAATTGAAAAACACACGCTGTAAAACTAAAACCAACGCGTACATATATTTTGTTATATCTAACTTACAATAATGCTGCACCGTTCGGAGACCCTATCACAAAATCCCTATATATAAAGTAGAAATGGTACAGCGAAGAGCAGCACGCTTCACTACAAACAGGAACAATAACACCAGCAGCGTTTCAGTTTAACAGATATAATATTTCGAACATGAAATTTACTGCCAATTTGGAGAAAAGACTTGGAAAAGACTTTTATAAGCATTGTATGGTTTCGGATCTGATCTTTTTTCAGCATTGTATATCATGTATCTAGTGATTGCATGTAAAATATATTTGTGTGAAAATGTTTGAAATGAAATATGTTTAAACTAACTAACCCTGTACAAAATGTTATTCCGGTCGATTAAATATCGATTATGTTGATGCTACGGGGGGAGGGTATGACAAACATTTCTTTTTCAAGACCGATTTATTCAAACTAAGTCTGCAAAAGTTATTTACTTTTGTTAGCGGTGCACAATAAGGACATTCCCTTTTGTTCATTTTCTATGCGCAATATAAGTGAGAAAATGTTTACAGATGTTTTTGTATAATTATAACGACTCTATATATCCATTTGAAAGTATTTAAACTGTAACAATGAATTTTAAATGGAGGTAAAAAAACCCACAGCAATCTTATAACAATTACATATATGACTGTAAGTTAAATATAGCCAATATTATCAATTTTAAATAAAAGTTTCTTTTTTTTTGTTATAAACTTCATTGTTTTATTTTTTATCTTTCTATAAACTTATATTTTGCAGATGCCTTGATTGCACAGCAAAGAATTGGAAATGTAAATGGTGCCCTTTTTCGAACCAATGTACAAATCGGACCTGTGATAATGTACAAACATTATTAGTTGATATCTTCTGCAAAAATCACTTGTACACCATAATCTTTAATGTTACACACTAATCATGAACCATCAAATTTAACTACTAAAAACTAATAACAATTATCATTTAATAACTTAATATACTAATATTACGTACACTTGGTTTATTTAAAGGTCAATGTAATAACTAATATTAGAGGATATGCGAAGTTTTATAAGGTTTCACTGAAGGTCTAGAAAGAATTTACGATCTTCCTAAAGGAAGTTTATAATTTTTTGCTGTATTACAATCAATATTATTCCAGCAGGAAGATTTGGACAAGGAAGCTTTCTGTTTCTATATGTTTAAATACATTATTGTCAAATGAAAAAAATATGTGATTTTTAAAAACTACAATTGCAAGACATCCAAAATTATATTCAAATGCACATTTGTTTCAAGTGCTTAGTATTTATAAGTAATGTTCTACTCTACTATATTCTAAAGGACTACTTAGTAATCGTTGTGTTTGTTAAAATGATGATATTTATTTAATGAGGGTTAGTTCTACCAAACACGTGATAACTATGTCAGAAAATTTCACTTGATATGCCTTGTGATTTTTATTGATATTTTATGTTTACAAATATTCATAGAATTTAAGTATTTAAAATATATTATAGAAAAGCATCAACACTACAGAAGACTGTCCACGCACCATTAATTACACTGTTGTTGCAAATGGTCAGGATGTCGTCCATGATTCGGATGGTTCCGTGTATTTCTCTAGTGGCAGAAGCTATACTATAAACATAACGGGAACCAATTTGTTAGAAGTATATATTATCATTATTTATGATAGTTTCAATACATTTAATCACATTTTCCCATTATATATTTGTGTGTATATGTACATGTTAGGACGTCCATTGTCAAGGATCTCTGCTGAGGTGTCTCCATATATATGTTTGTGATGAGCATATTACATCTTCATCAAAATGTTACAGTAACGCTGATACCTAAGCGTTGTATGACACAGTCTTTTGACATAAATGATTTGTATAAAACTATAATTGAAGGTAGGAACATTTAAGAACAATACAATTTTGGCAATATATTATCAGTATAGACTTTCATGATTTCAGCCTAAAACAACACTAAACTCATTGAAGTATAGTTGCAAGATAGTTGTATCAGGAACACATGACGTTTGGTTTAACAGGACTTACTTTAATCATGGAAGTCTGGTGTGTTTTTTAGGAAAGGTATGACTCGGTCTTTTTGTCTTCCTATTTTTTGTTAACGTATTAAATACTAATTTCGGAACAATAAGCACTCGCATTGATTTTGTTCAATTTAAATAAATTGAGACACATTATATTCAATGCAGCTAGCTACTGAGTGCAAGTAAATGTATCAATAATCAAACTGTCCGAAAGGAAAGTCATAATTATACTAGTATTAATACCATTTAACATTTTCGATTATTTTAGAATAATCAATCAGTACCTTAATGTAACTTATTGTAAACAAAACAACCTATTATCCTTTTTCTATATAACCCAGGAGGGCTTGTCTAAAATAACATCACAAAAAGATAAACTCGTTGCTACAGTCCAGCTTATGTGGGGAGGATCTCCAGTCTACGGGGTTGCAGAGCAAGGTAATTGACGATGATTTATTACATGAATTAGAAAAAAAACCACATCAGAGACCTGGAATAACTATAAATCCGAAATTTTACCATTCCGCGCATTCAGAATTCTTTAAGTTATATTAAATCATCTCTACATACAAAGATCGTTAAATACTGAAGCTTATATAATTTAAAGAAATTTAAAAGTGAGTTTTTTCTTTTTGGATTATTTTAGTATGTATAATATACTTGGTTTGATGATGATTCCATAATAATAACATAATATGTAAAGCAAATATCCTACATTTACTATGTTTTAACTGTTGATTCACAGGATTTTCAGTTATCATTTACACATGTGATGGACTTACGAAACCCGCTTATAACTGTGGACATTGCAAAAGTTTTGCATTGTATCAACCTCATTTTAACTGTCAATGGTGCGGCAAAGCGTGTGTTGACAGCAATGAAATATGTAACAACACAGCTTGTGACGATCCTATCATTACTAAGGTAAAATGAAAGCTTTGCGGAAGTGCAATAAATGAAAGCTTTGCGGAAGTGCAATTTTCGACTGATCTTTTCTAACAAAACATTGGTTTTGATGAATTGGTTGATTTGTCATATATTTTTTAAATAAACATACTATAAAGAAGGAATGCAATATTTCTTAACGTTCAGCACAAATATATCATTGTAACACACGCGTACTACTTGAATTACTGCAAATAGTTTTGAATATGATCACAGTGACTTTTGTGTGCATAGGTATATCCACTCAGCGCCCACATGAATGCAACGACATTGATAGAAATAACCGGTGTGAATCTTGGGTCTTCCTTCAATGATACTATCGATTCCGTGACAGTTGCTGGAAAAGCCTGTGACTCTATAGAAAGTGGCTACATTCCTGGCATAAAGTGAGATGATCTTCTTCTAGATTAACCTATAATGTTGATAATGACTTGCATATACCCATTAATAATGATTACTGTCACTGACCAGCAGAAAAAAAACCTTGCAATCTCACTAGCATTATAATACGTCTGTCTATAAGACTGGTGTTGAGTTATTCAAACTCGGCAAATAGTGATTTCAACAGGTTAAGGTGATTTAGTCGTGTCAGCCATGTTTGTTTTCACTAAATGGGTCCAAAGAAAAAGTAGGCCATATTTCATATTACAACAAAGTTTAAAGGTAAAAGGTGAACAATTTGCATTGACACTTCAAGTTCTATGTTTTAAGAACTATTAAAAATTAAAAAAAAACGATAACAATATGAAAATTTATCTTGAATATGCTAAATTTCTAAAAACCTGCAAAGTTTTATGCACATTTCATGAATTAAAGTCCGTTTTACTGCATAGGAATGCTATTTTTTGCAACAGACACAAAAACTTGCAAAACTAAATTCCAAATAAAGCAGTATCTCTTGTCATTCTAAGATCATGTCCTCCATTATTGTTTGTAAAAAAGGTAGTACAAGAAGGCAATTACCATTTATAGCTTTATGAACTACAATTAAAATAAAAACAGCATTCAAAATTTAAAATTTAACCTTTTTTGTGCAACAGTGAAGTGTGTCTGTTTGTCAGTCATGTATACAAGAAATAGTTAAACGATGTTTTTTTTTCTCTGGTGCTTCTTTTTTACACACAACATTGAGACCATGTTTTAAACAATGTCAGATCAACTACTTTCCTTACATTTTAGTTTTTGGAAGTTTTTTGTGTTTCTTGCAAAAATAGCAATTCCTTTGTACTACAACTGTCTTTACTTGGTCTTCAGACATTTAGCACATTCAAGGTAAATATTCTTATTGATATCGTTTATTTTCTGTTTATGATAGTCCTTAATACATAGACATAGAAATGTAATTGCAAACTGTTCATCATTTAACATTATGAGCTATGTTGTTATATGAATTTTGGCCTACTTTCACTTTGGACAAACGTAGTGAAAAAAACATGGCTGACAATGTGGAGTAACTTAAAATATGTAATTTCTTATTGTTGTATTTCATTTTGACAAATTATAGTGTAAATGATGAAAGACCCAAAATTGTAAATGAGACTCACAAACTATATTAATCTAGTAAATGTAGATCCACATTAGTGAATATCTTTTTTATTCATATCTGATAGTGTTAAAATAAAAGTTTAATATGCTGATTTTGACTGTAGTATCACTACAACAATTTTTGCTTTTTTTAAATGTAACAATAATTAAACGGTCTATTTCAATTAAAAGTAGGGTCGATGTAACTTTTGCCAAAAACAAAAGAAAACGGAATGGGGTTTTTAAAAAAAGAAACGCACTGGGAATTTTCGTCACCCTTTTAATTTTGGTAACATGTACTCTTTATTTAAATGAACTTTATTATACTTTTTGTAAAAAAATAAAAAAAACTTTGTTTGATAAATCTTCCAAAGAACTCTTCTTTTCCCGATTTTAATATTGTATTTTTCTTTAAATCGTTAAACCAGATAAACAAAAAAGGGGTTCAAAGGAAAACGGCAAACAGTTTCTTAAAAATAATTAATTTTCCCGTATTCATGCCTTAACAATACCAAATGGGGTACATATTTTTATAAGAAATGGGAAGGACTGTCATAATTATTTTGTCAAAAAGCTATTTTTAAGTTGAAGAATATGAATATGCAAACATAATTTTCAAACTAAATTTTTTTTAGGAATTGATAAATTTATTTTAAAAAATATTATTTTAGTTTATTTTTAAAGGTCTAACGCAGCACCTTAAAGGCATTTTTCCCCATTTTAAAAGGGGTTGCCCCGAAAAAATAACATGCTTTTTGGGGAAAAAATCTTTTTAGTATTTCTTTGAAAAAAGGACAAACAAAATCTTAAAAAATTTTAAAAACAATAATAATAAATTTAACAGGAACCCCCATTTTTTTTTTTTTTTTTTTTTTTTTTTTTTTTTTTTTTTTTTTTTTTTTTCAAAAAGGGTTATAATCTTAATTTCATAAAAAGTTTTACATTAATAAATTTTTTACAATTTTTTAAATTTTAGTACATAGGCTCCTTCGGGCAGTGATAAAGCCCCCTTTCCCCGGCCCAAAGTCAGTTACACATTAACTAAAGGAAACACTGGACCCGGGGAAAAAAAAGGTTTTTAAAAAGGGGAAAATCTGCAAATCTACAATTTTAAAAAATAAAAAATAACCGTATGTATATTCAGCATTATATGATTAAGCATCATTTCTGAATTTTAATGACGAAGCAAGAGAAATAGGAAGCTATCCAGCTAGCTTACGTAATACCAGTGGTTCTTACGTATGTCTTAAATGAACATTTGTAATGCTTTTACTATTTATAAATTCAATATACAGGAACTCGTCAAAAAAGCGTGTGTTTATAACAACAGTGGAAACATAATGATCAAAAAGGTTTTCCCACGTGAAAATGTACAATTTTTTTAAAAAAGTGAAAAACTGGTTAAATAAAGGGGAATATACATAAAAGTTCAGATCCCAAAAACACTATATCCCCAAGAAAGTTTCAAGGTAATCTGTTGACATAACAAGGGTTTATTAATTGAGTTTACCAAAGTAGCGTTAATGGCAATAATGTTAAAGCATGGCATAGGTATGCAATAAAGCCAGTCTGCAATGCTGTTCACTCGGAAAAACTTTACTCTATTTGTCATTCAATGTTAAATATCGTATGTTAATTGCCTCGATTAAACAATATCAGTGTAGAACATGCCCATTACACAAACAAATTTAAGTTAATCAATGCCCCCAAAAGGCAGCTTCTATATCCAGACGACCGAAAATAGCCATAAATAAATATAATGTTTGTATCAACAATACCTGCACTAAAATATAAACTTTATATAAGTTTCGGTAAACAATGTATATGCTAATTTAAGCATATACCTGATTTGTACCTTTACCTACAACAACTCAACCAGTTGGATTGTATAAAATTGTTTGGAGAAATTCAACACTAGTCTTGCATTTGAATTATAGGTGTATCATATTTTAACAAACTACTAATTCTTCTGAACTTTTCCATGATTTCGTCACCATAGGAAATACACAAAAAGGAAAGAAATAAATAGATTTGCGTCTGTTTATTAATAAAACAGTATTGATCTTGACACATGACTACATTATTGTACTGAATTAATTATCTCTATATAAATTATAAAATTGAACTAAATCAACAATATCAAAACAATATTTACAAATGTCATTTCTTCTTATTCAGTGGTGGCCGAACACTTACAATTGAAGGTAACAACTTACACGCAATACAACTACCAAAGATCTATGTAATGATTGGTGAAACAAAGCTATCGTCCGAGGTAATCCTTACATTATTATGATTATCTTTGTAAAATGAACTCAACCTGTTTAAATTTGTATCTGTCCATTTGATTTTGGAAAGATTTTATTAAAAAATACAAAAAAGAGTCTGGTTAAAGTGATCAAACGTGACTTATGACATTCGGTTAGGCGCTGTTTAATGTAAAACAACATCATGTCACCAATGGGTTTACGTATCATTAGTCCAGGTATAGCCAAAACAATGCATCGTTCTTAAATGTCTAAATATCGATCGATATAAGTTTTTTCCGTGTCACCTGCACGGGTTGGACTAATCGGCAGATAAAGGATTAAATGTGCTGTTTTAGTTCGTTAGTTCATGGTCATACAATATGTCATGTGTCTAATGGTCTTACTTAGCGTGATGCCTGGTATATTTTAAACGTTTCATTGCACTTTGATAACCAAATATTTATAGATATCAATTTATTTCGTGCCAATTGCCTCTAACATATTTGCAAAAAAAATTACAGATACCGTATCAGATCTTATTGTATTTGAAACTTTTAAAACAGAATTGCACAAACACTAAAGAAGATAATGATGGCGTTATTTATTGTCCTAGTCCTAGATACACTGGCGAGAAAAATAGAGGGCATGACAGATCGGATGGCAGCTCACTCAAAGCAAGGTATATTTCTTAGTTTTTTAAAAAAAAATTCTTTTATGTCATTAGGGTAAGCAGTTAAATGAATTTAAAGTTGATGTATCATATCGATCTAATTAAAGCAGAATATACACTTTTCATGTGATAAATGATAAAATAAAATTAAAGATCAACAACGCCGCAGATTCATACCGAATATATCGAAATTTTCATTCAAATATGCAATATATTAAATAGTCAACAGCAGTCACTAATAGAACTAATGACTTCATTCAAACGTTTATTACTTTTTGACATACGGAATAAGGGTGTTTCTTTATAACAGTTGTGTTAATCTTATGTTTTTCAGTTTCTTCATATTCCAGTAATGATTTAGTGTCAAACTGTCAATAACGTCATTATAGAACTATCTTAATTTTATTATAATTAAAAACGTTTTGTTCAATTCATTGTCGCTCTACGTTTATGAAATGTTCGCGAGTACCATAGCAACAGACCATGATATCACATAACCCAAATCTTGTTGATCGCGAATTGGTAAAACGTCTAGACATACTTTGGATGAATAACGACCATTGTGTGATCAACATCTAAGTCGGTTGGAATTCGCATAGAAATTTAATTTTTTCTACTTAAGAAATATAGCATATACATAGCATTTCATTGTACATTTTTGATTTGCATTGCATTCCTTTACATAAATTGTTTTGCTTTACGTTGCACGTACTGCCTTCATGAGCACTGCATTGAATTATATTGTATTTTATTTTACTCTATTATATTGTACCATACAGAATTCTTATTATTGTATCGTATCAAATATCATATCTTATTATTGTATCGTATCAAATATCATATCGTATCGTATTCTGTTATATTATATTGCAATATCATCAATTATTTTATTTTTATCTTTTAATTATTGTTATGAAGTATTGGTTTTGAAATGGATGACGTCTCATCGGTAAAAGCAGAAAATCTACCCAAAAGCATAGCTGTGCTTTCGTACTTCGAAGATCCGATCATAACAAACTTCACAGAGGATAAAAAATACACAGAATTTATCTCTATAAAGGTACAAACATTACATTGATTGACACCATACGCTCTTTTGTAATAAATATGATATTTATCAAGGCCGAAGGCACATAAATAAACCTTCAGACAAATGGCCATAGATTATATTGCTACCGTGGGAACACAAAAAAAATGTTTTTCATCATATACATGAATATCACATAGAGTTCTGGCAATGTCACTTTCTAATGACTGCTCATCGACCGCTACTCAACCATTCGCAGCATAGTATATTTTTATGTGATCAACTATAATTTGTTTAGCGAAAGAATTACAAACGCAATAACTAAATTTCGTATTTTTCTATCACAAATGTAGGGAGACCGTTTAAACGTTGCAGCAGAAGAGAGTGACGTTTTCATAAATATCGGCTGTGAGAGGTGCAACATAGTGAGTATGGCTCACGATTATATATTTTGTCGACCTCCAGTGGAAGAACCCACATGTATTCCGCGGGTGATAAACCAGAAATTCAATGTCAACGTAAGTAAACATCCATTTTCGCTGCTGTATGTGACAACATCTTTGAACATTGCATTTTAATTACATAGTACGACTTGCCATATAAATCATAGCAATGTTGGACAATATCATAGTAGCATTTGATTAATGGTTGATTGTTGATTTTCCCAATGGTTGCTCGAATGAAATGTTTAACGCAGCAATACTTTGCTTTTAAGGTGAGTATCGGATTTCTGACAAGAAATGTTGGTAATTTCACATACCATGATCCATCTGTTAAGTCGCTTGATGATCCAGGGAGGAAAACAGAAGATAACATCATAGCAGGAAGCGTTGTTGGGATTCTAATCTTTGGTCTGCTGGTATCTTTGGGCATTCTTTTTGTAATGATGAGAAAACGTAAGCTCATGAAGAAAGAGAAAGCCGGTCTGCTATATAAAATGGATAAAATAGAAGCAAAGTTTGAAACTCAATGCAGTGAAGGTGGGTATCTCCCCTTAATTACTCATAACAATGATTTCTTTAACATGGTTAATGTGTGTAATGGATTAATCAAACTTTTAAGTTGAAATAGTTCATTTATTGGGCACAGAAGTACCGGCTGATCTGCTTCTTTACTGGCGGCTAAAGCGCAATCACTTTCGGTTCACACACGATAAAAGTATAGGTTGTCAGTAAACTGACGAGTCTGTCAAATCTCAATACTGTTGGTTGCCTTTATTTTAGTGGTCTTGTATTGATATCCGTCCAAATTCAAAGCAATTTAAAATAAAAAATCTGCAAAAAGAAAAAAAATTAAAATTATCTCAGTTAAAAGTAGCTTATCTCAGACAATTTGAAATGTTTTGAAACATTTGTTAATTGAACCATTGCCTTCATTTTTTTAGAATATATATTTGTGACTCATGTATCTATATAGACTCATTGGGATATTCAGATTGGGATTAATTCTCGCTACGGGGCAAAACAACCGAATTTCAAAAAGAACATATAAATTTATAAGATTTTCTCTTATGCCAGGATAAAAAAGCTAGTAATTAAGTCAAATTTAATTATTTTATAAACACCCATACACACTGAAATTACTTAATATATATTTAAATGGTCATTTTCTAGTTTTCTCATTGAGAAAATTCCGACGTTTTTGTTGTTGTTTTTTGTATATGTTTTTTTTTTCTTTTTGATTCTTTTTTTTTTGTAATTGTTGTTTTTCTTTTCTTTCACTACATTAGTTTCACATCTGGTATACCCGTTCCTATGCATGAAAAAATATAATTGTAAAACCACTGTGGGATGTGCTGTGGGATGTGATTAGACCATGTAGACGCACAAATGGTTATATGACGAAGCGAAAAAATAGGGTTACCCCATGTGGGGCCTGAAAAAAAGTATCGAGTTGAAAATATAACACTTTACCAGCTTTAATATATTGGCGTGATGTACGATTTTTTGAGAGTGCTTTTTTGCCGACACAAATAGTATAAAGTCATGTACATTCATAAGATTTTTTTAAATTTTTTTATGCCAGAACTTATTTTTAAATTACATATATTTATATTATTTTTTGTCTTAGTAATGCTTAAATTAAAATAATTTTAATATATACGTAATAGTTAATATTACGCAGCCGTTTTTCGAAACTACAGAATACTTACATTTTTGAAACTCAAAATATCCTCTTAGGTATTGTATATTAGCAGAGACATATATATACTATCTACATCTCTGGTATTAGCAAGTAAGTACGATTTAACTGCCTGGTAAAACACGATGCGACAATTTTTTTATTATTTAGAATTAGACGAAAATGGTAACCATGATCAATTATCCAGTCAGTCTAGTATAAAAGCAAATCGTTAACCTTATCATAGTAAACATTTTCATTCATTTGACCATCCCTTTTATGTAATATTTCTTTCAATTACAATTTTGTTTGTTAATTTCAATCTGCCAATCTTACAAAAGAAAGGATTAAGATCTTTATATTCCTCTATTAATGTACTTAATCGTATCGGCAATGTCCACCGTATCCCCCAATGACGTCATCCAAGGGCGACAACCTGAACCCGGTCTTAAATGAAAGTGTCTATATCATGATCATGCAAAGATTAATCAGCTCTATAATAATCATGATATATTTTGTTTCAGAAATCTCTGCATTACAAACTGCCGTCTCTGATTTAACAAGCAATCTAAAAGGGGAGAACGCCTTGTTTCGAGAATATGATGTGTATGCTAGTAAAACACTTTTTTCATCACAAAAGTCAGACATATTGATGAACCAACAGTCAGTGTGTGTAAGTTTTCAAATATTGCAGGAGATATTCTTTTCTTCTCTCTTTTGGAGACAGGATCGTGTTTTATAATATACCTTTACTGTTAATGATTCGTTTACAGATTCACTAGTGAGTTTGACTTGATATGCCCTATCGTCCAGATTGAAATTATTATATTATTCACGAGTACGCTTTGTCAAATCAAAATCACAAACATTCCTGCAAAGACTTGGAGCAACAATGGAGCAACAGTGGCTATTGGACTGTAACCAAAACCTCATGACACCAGAGCACATCGGCACTATTTTAGTCATGTTCATGAATTCCGATTAAAATGCTTGAGCCAAAATGTTGACTAGTGCAGTAGGCAAATTAACAACTGTTCAAAGATGGAATAACACATTCCTATCTGCATCATAATCCCCTTTTTGATTACAAAGGTTTCCGTTGGCTTATATATTTAAAACCTGATACCGACTGTCTTAAAGTGTGCAGTAGTCTTGTGCGTTAATAAGTGTATAGCTACTTTTCATTTCAGGCTGAACAGGCTCAACAAGCTTTGGATTCCTTTAAAGGATTACTACGTAAAAGACAGTTCCTTCTCATATTGATTAAAACATTGGAAAAAGAGCAGTCTTTTACAAAAAATGACAAGTAAGATGTAATTATCATATTAATCATAAACAGTAACTTTGAATATGTAAGTTACCTAGTTACTATAATGTATAACATTACATGTATACCACTTGGCCCTCATCGCTGTGGGTTGGAATCCTGACAGGGACTTTAAATCCTTTCAAGTGAGGAAGATATACAGCTAGCTAAGGATTTGCCCTGCTTTGAATTTAAACGATCCATTCAGGATAAACGATGTCAATATAAAAATTTGAATAATGAGCTACCAACAGTATACAGGCTGATCAGACTGCATGAATATACTAGCTGTAATCACTTCCAGTCGTATCAGTAATATGGTTTATTTTGTAACGACCATGCTTCCTCGTATGGTATATTTACTGGTAGCTCAAGGAAGTGGACTAGAATGGTCAATATCAGTGACCAAGAACTTGTTTCACAATTGAGCTTAATGAAATATGTTGTTGTCAAACAAAAATGATTTTTAAATTTGTCTTTTGACGTCTTTTGACGTCTTATCTGTGATACGCAGGCTTCATAACCTCAGATCCCCTTTCAAAATTCCATTTTATTTAGTTCGGCCCATTGTTTTCTCGTTTAGGGCACACGCATTTTTTTACTTGGGGACCATATGCCGCTTTTCATGGAATGGCACTACCGTGTCACATTGAAGGTTCCATGATAACCGCCATATGAACACATCTGCGGATGTTTCAAAATTCTAAATTTTACCAGTTCATGTTAAATGTTGAATTCTGCTTAAGCCGGTGCTAGGGGGGCGTGGACGGTAACTTGCACTTTCCAGTACCGTCCATGAACAGGCTCAATCAAACCGAGCCTGCAACATTTTCAATTTTGCCGTGTTGGGCTTTCTTTAGGGATTCTGTATTTATCTATTTTATTAAATGCCTCAAATTTTGTTTTACATTTTGTATTAGCAATGACGGTTATATTTTGCTACATGTAACAATATTTAGTTTGTTCTTTCAACAGAATAAAGCTTTATCTACTGGGATATTTCAATAAATTTATTAACGGTTAAATAATTTTGTTTCCATATACGTATGGTCTGTTCTCAAGGGTGTAACATTGAATGTGTCTGTTATTTAACACACGTGGATATTTTACGTTAACTGAATGAAATGTTCCCGACGAATCATTTAAAGTGCTTTTTAAAGCAGGGATTTTACCCGTTTAGCAATGACTGGCTCTAAAACCGAGCGCAGATATTCCGTAAGTATAAAAAATGTGAGCAAATAAATTGTCAGTTTAATACATTTCAAAGACCAACTAGCATAACAGTCTTGTGCATTTCATGGTTTCGTTTATCAATGAATATGCTATGGTCAGGATCAAAGCTAAACACTGTGACAAAAAGAAAATGGAAAACAACATGCCAATATTTCATTTACATTTGTATTAACAAAATTTTTGAATTACATTTTGTGATAATAAATAGCTGATTCAATTAACGTTTCTATAATAAAAAAAACGTCAAAAATGAAAAGGAACAAAAGAAAATAAGTTTTTCGATGCTCTGTTTAAAGTAAACATTGAGAAAAATACTTACAGTAAAAATCTAGATATATGTCATGTAACGGGGCAAATGATACCGCTCTATTTTCTTTGTTCTTTTTGTTTAACGAAAAAACAAACACATTTTATTGATGTAAAAAATGAATATATACTTATATTACAGGTCAAGTGTTGCCACAATACTGATGATTCTGAATCACGACAACATGGAATATGTGACTAGGTAAGTCACGACAGTTTGCCGAAATCTTTTCCGCATCACAATGATTATCAACTTATATCTACTAAAATATGCATCACATGTATATATATGACACTAACATGTTATAATTCAATAATTTAAGACAGCTTATAAGTGAATTGTTAAAGAAATTTCAGAAGCAATGTTGAGCTTACAATATTAATAGACCCTTGTTTCAACTTCAACCTTTAACTTCCCGGGGTATTGTTCAATTATCACGTATTAATTCGCCGATGCTATCACACGACTCAATATTAAGCTTTGAAATAAAAAGTTGTCTTATTTTAGCAGTTGCTTAATATCGCTTATATATGCAACAAAATGGAAACCAAATTTTATTTAAATTCAACAGCATACTAACAACACTGCTAGATGACCTAATTGACCAGAACATTGCATCAGGTACCCCGAAACTTCTCCTCAGTAGGTAAATAATACTATTATATATATTTATCATTCTTATCTGTAGATACATATTTTCATTTTCATGGGAATCAGATTATTAAATTATTCAATTCAATGCAAATTTATTTATCAGAAACGTATTAAGCCAACCTTGATTAAGTACTAAACAAAGACAATGTTGGATGGTTAAAGGCGACTTAAGTCATTCATTGCTTAAATTCATTTTTGCTTTAAATATTATAAGGTCAGATACTATTATTGCGCAAAGGGTCAAAATCATAAGAATGCTAACAAAAGAATATGTAATAGCATATATCGTAAAAGTATGCTTAGCTGCAAAAGGCACCACACTGATCAAAGGTAGTTATCAAAATGAATGGTTTTTGGTAGTTTGTATTTGTACTTTCAAGCATGCAAAATGCCACTTGATAAAGAAAGCAAGCTATGAATGATTAGTAAGTGAACATTAGAAAGATACTTCAGCAGTTATATCTAGCTGTTTTTCTTTTATATTGTTGCATAAAATGTACACGCATTGTATAAAAGAATGATGTATGTTTTTCTTCAAATGTACATGAAGTAACAGTTATTTTTGGTTTCTATTTATAGATCAGAATGTGTAACCCAGAAACTATTCTCCCATTGGCTGTCAGTCTGCTTGTACCTTTTCCTTAAAGAGCGGTGTGGATCAGCATTGTATATGCTATACAAAGCAATCAAAATTCAGTCTGAGAAAGGACCGATAGACTACATAACAAACTGTGGAAAATATACGCTTTCGGAGGATAAACTGTTCACACCGGCCGATAACGAGATCAATCCAGTTACTCTGGTAACGTTTAAAACTTTAATCCAGTGGTCACTTCATTACTCCTTTAAGTTTAGTTATTCATATTCCAACATTAAAGCCCTTACCTAATCCTCAACATGTTGTAACTGAACAATGATTGCAACTAGTACAGAGTCAAAGTAGATAAATAGATATTTTTATTTCGATTTTAAAATTCATTTCATTTTGATTATTGATCAAAACTTAAGATTGACAAATCTATGACACAAATTCAGCTGTTGGATGTTGAGTATATAATGCTTAAACCCGTAATGTTGTAAGGAAATACTTTGATTTCATTCGATACGATGTGAATCAAACATTTGTAACCTTATACATGATGTAAATTTAGGAGCGCGATGCTATAATGTTTGCAGATCTATTACTGTGTTTGTTAAAGACAGTTTAAATAATAATATGTTGTCCTACTCAAAAATTGATAAGGGCCCCTTTTGTAGTCTGTAATTATTATTATTTGGGGTTAACAATTAAAACAGTTAATTATCCCTTTGAAATATTTTTGTGTTTTTTTAAATTAAATGTCTCCAAAAAGTTTGGGAGACTTTATTTTTTCCCTCCCGCCTGTCTGATTCCCCCTCTAACTGGCCCGTAACAATGGGGGCTGGGGGGGAAATAGGTAACTTTTTGAAAAATGTTTTAAATTTCGTAATGTTTTTCGGGGAAAAAAAAAAACCCCAATTAGAAAAAACCAATTTTAAGAAGAAAAAACCCGTTAGAATTTCTGTTCTTTTCCTCCGAAATTGACCCATTGGATTTAAACCCAAAAACCTTTTACAGGAGTGAACATTCCCATCCCAAAAGTTGTGACCATAAACCGGGGAACTTTCTCCCTTCATTGCAAAAAAGGGGCCGTCTTGGTAAAAATAGAAAATTTTTTTCCTTCATTGAAAGGAAAAAAATTTACGGGTTTGGGCCCTTAAACCCGGCCCTTTTACAAAATGATAAATACCATCCCTAGATGTGCACTTTTTTATCGGCACTTTCCCGCTTCACCCACAAAATGGCCGCCAGAGCAAAAATTAAAAAAATTGTCCCCCCAACAGATAAATTTACGGGGTGGGAAATTTAAACCCAAAAATTTTTAAAAGGAGTGGTTTAAAAAAAACCCATCCCTAGTTTCCCCTTTGGGGCCTGCAAAAAATTCCCCCAGACCTAAAAAAAAAATCTTTTTCCGGCCTTCACAGGTAAAACTAAATTGGGTTTGGGTTTTAACCCCCCAAATTTTAAGAAAATAAATCAATATAATCCCTGGGGGCAACCCCCCCAACGCTTCACAAAAAGGAAAAGTTTAAAAAAAAATAAGAAAGTTTTTTGCCCGGGCCCTTTAAACGGGAAAGTGTTTCAATACCATTCAGTTGTGCATATCGCCAGTACGTTCCATTTCGCTGCACAAAATGGCCACTAGAGCTAAAAAATAGAAAAGCATTGTTGGGCATTCAAACTATTGGTTGGATTTCAACAAAACTTAATCAACAAAACTAAATAGGAGTGATCAGTACCATCCGTAGTTGTGCACATCGCCGGCAAGTTTTGCTCCACTGCACAAAATGGCCACCAGAGCTTAAAATGGAAAATAAATCTTGTTCGGCTTTCAGAGGTCAAGCTACTGGTGGGATTTCAATGAAAATTCTCATGAGTGATCGTTACCATCCCTAGTTGTGCATATCACCGGCATGTTCCTCATACATTGTTTTTAAAGACATATGTTTTTGTGACAAAAACCCTTCTAGTTTGATAATAATTGCATTATTGAACTGAAACATGAGTATTATATTATTTAAGCGAAACGTGAATCACTGAAAATAGTAAAAGTGGTTATTTTTCTAAAGGCTGCATGGATCTTGTTAGGTGTCAACGGTCATTAATTACAGTCTGAAAGAGCCTGGAGATGCTGTAAATTGGGGAGCCGATTGATCTTCAATTGTGCAATTCTGTTCCACTCCTGTTGTTAAGAATGCAAGAATGACGACACAAATGGCTTTTTGGAGTATGTCCCACATATGTCCAATTGGATTAAGGTCCGGGGATCTGGCAGGCCGAGTTATGAGCTCAAAGCTCAATTTCACCACGTGAGAGGTAATAGGTTGTGTGGCGGGTAGTGTGTTGTGTATGGGCGAGCATTGACCTGCATTAGAAAAAAATCTAGACCCACTGCACCTGCATATGTTTGGGTCGTGTTTCAAGACGCCAGCAGGTGCAAATTGACATCTTCTCCAAACTCTCGCACGTCTATATGTGAAGTCTAGGAAGAATATAGAATATGCTATATGATAAACAAGATCAACAAGGAAAGGCGGCGTTCAATGAACGCAAGACTCACCAGTAAAAAAAAACAGTGGTCCAGTTTGGGGGATCCATTACATACAGTTATTGCCTAAACGTTGGGGTTCTCTGATGTTGTTATTCGTCAAAGATACGCAAATGAGAGGACGTCTGGTATTCATACCAGCATCATGCAACCCTTTTCTCATTGTGTGAGTAAATACCCGAACAGTTGTTCTATTCTGTAAACTGTTCCTTAACCACTTAGGTAGCAATCTGGAAAACGAATGCATCGGGTCTGAACAACAATATATCGTTTCCTGTATGTGTTGTACATTTAGAACTACCACCAATGTGTACATGTGCCACATTTACTTCAATTTGGAAAAGATTTTACGTTGAACAACAATGTGGGAAACATTCCAGGTGCAGGCAACCAGTCTCTAAAACATGCATGCGTGTCTGAAACATTCAAACCCCCTATTCATCTCGTCATGCGTTCGCCACCTTCTTGGAGTTTGATTCATTACATCGAATGCTTTCTCATACGATAAATTGCAAATATTATAAACAAGAGCTAAGAAATCAAGACACGTACGAGGAATATTGGGAAAATATGTAGACTTTTGATATAACTCTGTCGCTTTTGAAATTAAAAAAAGACTGTTTAATTTTTTAGTATTTTTTTATATCTAATTTATATCAAATATGTATGTTTTCGCATAAAAGCGGATAACAAAAATTACATGTAAATGAATAATTAAAATATACACCTATTATATGGCGGCGCACGTTGAACGTCACTTTAATGCGACGTCATAATAAAGTCAACGCTTTTCAAAATACTCGCCGTTGCACTCGATGCAGCGTTGATGGCGGTGGATAAAAACCTATACCAGTCCTCAGTGTACTGAGCGACAATGTTTTTGGTGCCAATTCAAAGTTTTGCAAGCGTCTGGAACCGATTTCTCTTCGGACGAATCTTTATTGTTTGGAACAGCGCGAAATCATCTGGAGCAAAGTAAGGCGAATGTGGAAGATGCGACAAGAGTCTAGGTACCCATCTAGCATTAACCTAAATAATTAACTAATTAACGTGAAGCTATCAGTTTGTCAATATTGATTTGACTCTGTAAAGTACATGTTAATCACGCTTTTCAACAATAAAGCTGTATATTATATGTTGAAATCGTATAACGGCATACCTAAAATAATCTGGATAATATTTATTATACAATTTTCGATACATATTTGACAAATTAATTATTAACTATGAGCAAATTAATTTTACGTACATTTTACGTAATGCATCTCTACCATTAATATCTTTAATGTGGATGTTATAATTCCGGGCACTGTGTCAACACCCAAGTTAAAGATCTTGCCAACTTCCGAACGGTCATCTTCCAAGACTTTCAGAAATGACGTTATTACAAACGTCGTGATTTTGACATTCCTCCTCCTCCACTGTCATCTTCTACTGTTTCTTTACCGATACCAAATCGTCTGTGCCATTTGAAAACCAGTGCATGACTAATGGTACTTGCATATTAAGACTTTTCCACCATTTTGGTTCTCTGAAAATATGTTCTCTCTGATGAGTTCGCCTTGACGTTGAATCTATAAATGACTTGTGACCGTCTGTGTGTTGTTTATATCATTTACCGACGTTGAAATGACGTAAAATATGACAATCACGTCATTAAAACGTCCATTCATAATTTGGTTGAATTTAATAAAAATCTATCGACGCAAACTATAATCAGTCGCATTTATTGTTGAATAGACATCTATAAATTTTGGGTTGCCCCAGGTAGCTGTTACCGTGGCAATTTAAACCATGTGACACGGCCATCTGCAATCCTATTAGTTTTTTTCATGTTACCTACCGATGAGGTATACACTATAATCACATCAGTGTATTTTTGGATTCTCCTATTTCGCGTTGTAATTTGATGAAGAAAGTCTCCGTATTTTCCATACATCCCTCGTAAACTTCGTATACATGTCGTCAAAATCTTGATTTGGTGGTTCAAGAATTCCTCATGCTTCATCTGTCGTCACACGTGAACAAATCAATCATTTCCTTGCATGGCTATATCACAAACGCTATGGACATTATTTGTGTTCAAATAAGTATCCCTGCTCATCCCATTGGCGAAGCTGGCATCGGAGGAAGAAATGGCCCAAATCACATTTTGAGTAGTATATTTTGAATATGGCAACCATCAATATAGTTTGCTATGAAACTAGTAATTTTTTAATTGATTGTAAAAAAATGAGTATTTATACGATTCAATTGCAAGTTACAACTTTTTATTTTTATTTAGACACTTGACGTTACCCATGTTGATGTTATTGACAACAAGGAAAAACAGATTTCTGTTCAAGTTCTTGACTGTGACACTGTCACTCAAGCAAAGGCTAAAATGCTGGAGATTTTTTATAAGAATGTGCCATACTCGCAGAGACCTTCAGTACATAGCACAGAACTAGGTATTTGTTTGTACTTTTGAAACGTGTATTAGAAATCTTGTGTAACAAATGTTTTCTTTGAAATGTCATATAAAGATATTATGCAAGCGCGACTTAGAAGAAAAGCAACATTTAATGATATATTATTACTGTACAATGTAAAGGCAAAGATAGGTTCAACTCTTTATGTATAAATTAAAGAGGTGAAAGAAGATGATAGGGATCCGAAAATATTGTTGAGTGATGATGATGACTCCAGTACAAAGGATGGTATATGGAAGAGAATAAATACACTTCAGCACTACAAGATTCACGATGGGGCTAAAGTTAACCTCTTCTTCAACATAGAATTAAAAGAATCCTTTACAGCAGTCGCACCGGAAGGTAGGATCATTTATGTGATGTTTAAAAAATGATATAACGAGACAAAACAAGTTAATTATCAGATTATGTAGGACAGTCAGTAAATGTTGCCTATTGAACTATTCAAATTGTAATTTGTAAATTAAGGTATTGTTATAACCTCACCTTGCATTCTTATAGTTATAATATGGGAAATAAATAATAATATTTTCAAATATTGAATGCTATGAAAGTATAAGTCTGTGAGCTAGTCTGGTGTATTTTTATGCCCTCACTATTTTAACCGTTGGTTAAATCCAAACTAACACTGGTTTGTGTATGAAAATACCACTTAAAGGTCAAAAAGAATGTCAGCTTGTGACAAAACGTATCTGGATATTTTGATGCCCCCTGGTTAAACAAATATCATATAAGGACATACCTGGCATGTAACTCCAAAGCCGCTAGAGCTACAGAACTTGCTATGAATATTTTCCATCATATGATGTTAGGCATAGTAGTAATTTGTTGCAAATTTGTTGAAGAGTTTGCAAAGTTATGGCCCCAGACTGAGCAAAAAAGCAATGAACTGCTTTGTTTATACACATTAATCATTGTTCAACATGTTTGTGACAATACAGGAGCATGTAGGGACATCCGTGTCCTATCGACACATGTCCAGTTTCCTCAATAACCTAATCTTCTCTGTTTTACAGAATCACCAGATTCATTCATTGTCGGTAATTTTAGAAGTTCGAAACCAATCGTGAGGTCCATCAGTGGGTCAAACTTTTGGCACCTGGTAATTCCGGAATGAAATATGCATTGCATGCACAATATATAATTTTTACAGATATTTGGTTTAGATCTCACTGTGCATTTGACATTGCATTAGTCCGCGGACTGTATTTAAACGATACATTTCATATGCAGAACTTCGTTAATCATTCTATGAATTTTAAACACATTTTACATTTCAAAAACCCGATATCTGGCTGTGGTTTGCTCTTATTTACCCTGCATGTACCACTCTTACTTCATCTTAAGATGCAAGACATAAAGTTTGCAAATTTTATTTTCAATTCGTTTCACTTGAAAAATATGAAAGAACATAATTAAAATATTTTATTCCTAATGTAGTTTAAAGCTTCCATGGTATATGTGTGCATTTACATAAATTTTCTCGAAATTTGCCATGATATTTTACTAATAAATAGCCACGCCATAGTAGTTTGCGTGCAATTTTAAAATAAGCATATTTTGAGCACACAGAGATGATAATATTATTATGTTACCTTTTTAAATTGTGTACACACTTTATAGGTATACATCACAAACACAATAAAGGTCAACACAGTATGAATACATAGTCCTTGAACAGCAGTTTTTTTGCAATTTATTTGTGAAAAAAGCAAGTTTTTGGGAATGCAGCTTCACAATTAGGCATTTTTTCAATTAGGCATATTCAGGAAGAATTTCAAAGATTTCAATAAATGTCTGCAATAAAAGTAATTACCCAAATTTAAGCAGTGTATTTTTAAATATAGTAACATTGAATAGTTCCGATTTCAAAGCAGAACTATTCCATTTTGTAGATGAAGGGGTATTTAATGGTTAAAAGTATGCATGCTATAACAGTGTTTTTATTATGATTATCTTATCTATCTTATCCTGCTTGCATTTGACTGATAGTCGCTTCATTCAGACATAATTTCCAGTTCGTAATGATATTATTTCGTACTAAATATGCATGTGATACCATTCTTACCTTGATTTTCCTTTTGGATCTGTACAAATAACAGTGTGTAACATTCTTCAATAAAATAAAATAAAAGAATGTTTGTTGGGATGCGACACATATTACAACAGCATAAAGAGGAATACGCTTTCTGGAAAAAAGTAATATAAATGCTACATTGTACATAATTGCCTATTTATGGGAGACACTATAAATCGTTCATATTAATTTTATAAACTTTGGCATAAACAGCAACTATTTTTACAACAAGTCTCGAAATCAATATCCCTGGAGGAAATAGTTTAACTCTTTGATTATTAAACTAAGTCTTCAATCATTTGGAATTAAATGTGGTTAGTGTTTGCCATGTCAGATTACATTTCCATATATTCTGACAAGGCTCTATACTCTTGACAATTGAATTTTCGTATTTTGTTATAGAAATCCCTTAACATTCAAAATGGACTAGTTAAGGGATAACTAGTTATTGTCAATATTAATATTTTTGAAAATACATGTATTCGTACTTTTTATCAAACTTATGTCATTTTAGCCTTACCGGTACATGTGTAAAAGAAATCAAAGTATGAAAAGAATAAGGCTTTTTCTGGATATGTATTTCAGACAAAACAGCATCAGACCGATGACGAAGTACAGTTAGCCAGTGACCTATTTCTTCCGGGATTGCTTAACACAAAGGTAGGAGGTGATCAATCTCATATTTATCATTGTTTTTTAAACCGAGTTTGCAGTTTTCGTTTTATCATTTTGTGTGTTCATTGCTGTATACAAAGGTATGTATTCCCAAGGACTAAATGAAGCACTTTCACCTTATATATTGATATTGTTTCACATATCATTTGTGTTTTTTTCTCAATACAATTGAATAATTAAAATAAGGAAGTTAAAGTCTGCTTGTATGAAAAGTAACTTAATTTCGCTAGTGCTTGCTAAGATTTAGTTCATGTATAATGTAAAGCAGTTTTTGATATCATAATTGTCCCTCTATTTGGTTGCGTTTAACGAATCAATTCTCAATAGTATTTTAAACGTAATTGCGACGTTTCATCAGAATGTAATTGTTCTGCAACAATGTTTACACCAAGTCATATATATATAAACCAAACTTAGTATAGCAACACACGCAGTAATTTATAAAAGCCGAAATCAGGAAAGCACTTTGAGCTTGACCACCCTGCACATAAGTGCAGTTCCAAAATTGAAAACTGGGAAAGTTAATTTAAATATGCAGCAGGTCAAAACATATGCAATTCGTAACAACTTATAATATTTCTAACAAACCTAAGCAATATATACATATTTATAAATTACTAGAATATTAAATGCTTCTAGAATAAATCTACAAATATCCTTATCTTCCCTAGTTGCGATGACATCATGTTTGTTCAAAAGAGACATGCGGCAAGACAAATTTGATTGAAATCAGAGCCTAAATAATGCCGCGTTCAATAAAAAACATACGACACATATTTCAGGGCACACTGCAGACGTACATAGATGACCTATTTCAGGCCGTCCTGAGTGTCGGAGAGAAGCCGCCAATTATTATTAAGTTTCTGTTTGACCACCTAGATAGTGCCGCTTCAAGGCGCGGTCTAAACGATCCGGATGTTCTACATGCCTGGAAGTGTAATAGGTACATCTGTTAATAAATGAAATTCTATTCGTTTTTACTGAATGTTTCAAAAAGGGAACTTTATAAACACGTAACTGATACTTGTAGAAATATTCCGTTGTATCTTTGATTTTTATGAAAAGGATTCTAATATCAAATACATTTAAACATTATCAACTAAAAGTATTTGTGCGATGATTTTACTGAACGAAAACATTAAAATTGCATAATGGCATGTATGAACATTATCTATCGAACAATGTTAACAAAATTGTTTTACAAAATTTGAAATAATTTCTTTCTCTTAATTAACACAGACTGACTAAAATCTTTGATACTTCATGTAAATGTTTCAGTTTGTTGCTATGCTTTTGGATGAACATCATCAAGAACCCAGAGTTTGTTTTCGATGTTCACAAACCTCCTATTGTCGACTCGTGTCTGTCTGTTGTTGCTCAAACCTTAATGAACAGTTGCTCTACTGTTGACCTTGTTTTTTGTCCGGTAAGAAAATAAATATTTTATGTAATTTAAAGTTGATATGATAACATTTTCTATTTTATGCAAATGACAGTCATTCAATGTACATAGTTCACTTTCTTTATAGTTTGCTTAAAGGTACGCCGAATATATAACAACGTTTGTATGTATAATATAAGCATATGTGTGTCTTACTTCAATATTATATATTAAATTGTTCACATTTTGTCATAGATCTTTAATGTTTCATTTGACTTTTTTGCGATTTTGAAGAAAATATTGTATGATAAATGTGAAGTTTTCGTTCAATCTCTGTCATTACATTATAGAGTTCACAAACAAAAAAGCTCCTGTTTGCCAAAGAAATACCCAGATACCAATCTTTGGTACGCCAGTATTTTGAGGACATAAAAATGTCGCCAGCAATCAGTGACCAAGAACTTAATTCGTACCTTAAACAAAAAGTATCACAGGTAAGAAACAGTCGTACATTGTGTCTTGTTCGGGAAAGTGCATACCCATTTCTATTTCATTTAAATAATGATAATGATATAATAGTTTATAACAATGTGCATCGCCGTATCGCCTGTCTAGCACATGCATTAAAGTGTATACGATTAATCATAAGATCATTTCTGTATGTTGTTAATTATGGATTTAACCCATTACTTCATATACACGCCTTTTAACGCCTTTTTCCCCCCCCCCCCCCTTTTTGTTGTCTCAAATGGTGAAAAAATGCATTATTTAGGCCCTTAACACTTGTTTTTGTTTGAGAAATGTTGTTAAAAAAAGTGACCACTTTTTCGGCGCGGCCCCCCAACCAAAAGATACATCAGGGGGTTGCCAGAAGGGGGATGTGCCCCCTTCTGTTTGGGGGTTTGAAATGGGCGGAGTCCCCCTTATCGCCAAGAAAATTTTGGACTTGTGAGAGGCTATAAATGACCTCAGATTGATCATAAGGTAACGTGTAACCAACGCTGAAAAGCATTTGACTCTATCTCAATCCATTGAGAAGTTGCAGCACTTTGAAATCAATTATAATGGAAAAAATCAACGCAAAATAGTGATTTTTGGCAATTTTGAGATGTCCCCTCGTTGCCATGGTAACAGAAAATTTAAGCCTGAGCATGTTGTTGCAAGGGCAATGGTCCAGTCAACATTTGTGCCAAGTTTGATTAGTGTTGAAGCAGTTTTTATAGTATTATAGCAATTTGAACTTGTAACGGGAGACTTTTCAATGAAAACAGCCATTTTTCACAAAATGCTCATGAAGTAATGGGTTAACGTAACGTAAATCTAAGCACAAAAGTACATTTTGCCATTAAGTAAATACCCTGACATGTCACAGTGCCCTTAAAAAGTTTATTAGAAAATAATTAAATCACAATGATTTTTTAACATATAATTTATTTTTTATTTTAACTTATCCTGATTCTTATTCAGAAATTTTATGGCAAATTCAACCAGTCGAGTGTTTTAACGCAAATGTATGAGTATGCAGCCAAATACAGGAATGAGGTACATCAACATTTCTTACTGTGTTTATATTAGACCTATACGTAACCGGCTGAAACAAAAAGTGATGAAACTTTTAAACAAATATACAGCATATCAATGCACATACATTCGATATGCAGTCTGACCAGGCTCAATATACTGTTGGCTGAATAGCCTGATATCTCTAAAGATTATAATGGATAGTTCCTATATAGGAAGCTTTGACTACATTCCATTAAACGTGTGCAATTATTTAGACAAAACTATATCAAATTAAACATCTGGAGATTAAGCAATTTGTGTCAGCTGCAGTTCAAAAGAGATCGCCATCCAAGAGTAAGAATTAATTTCATTAAAGATTATGTTATAAAAAGTCAATAGGACTATAATCCATCTGAAAAAAAGCAATAATGATCTTATTTAAGGTTATATAAAAAGAAAGAAATTAGAATCAATCCAAATACAGGCAATTGCCTATCTAAGTTTTTAAAAAGGATGGTTTTAATGTTATATGAAAAAGTGAGGTTTATAAATTGATCTAGCACTGACAAAAGCCATTTGTTTTCTTGTTGTTGTTGTTTTTTGTGCTTTTTTATTGTTTGTTTTGTTGTTTTTTGTCAAGTTCAGATCTACAAAGCAATGGACAATACAGAAACACCTACACCCGAAAGTATTTCATCTCTCTCATCAAAACTAGAGTCTGTTTTTAAAGCTATGGATTGCTAAATAAAACAAAAATGTGTAAATATATATTAAAAGAGCTGTAAGTGGTAATAAGGAACAGCAGTTTCTGATCAGGTTATTCATAATGGTTTTGAAAAAAAAAAATTTAAGAAATACACGGAATGAAATCGGATGCGTATTAAATTCAAACAAAATGACAAATTTAAGTAGGCCTACAAATAAGAAATCAATAAGCCAATCTGTTATAAACTTAATACCCATGTTTTATAAGCTTTATATTGATATTCATTCTCCTAACTGATAATATTTTGCCATCTAAATTTAATTTATAAAGTCTATATATGTGTGCATGAAATTTCATTTCTTGAAGATTTGTAGTGACTTTGTCGTATTTATTACTTTTTTTAATGTTGGCGCTTTCAGTATTAAATATCTTCGTATTTGTACCTCTTAATTCATTGAGCCAATATAAAACGCATTTGAATAGTAAGAGGCGGTTCAAAATTGTAACGAAACATCATAACATCAAATATAAACGAAAATATTTGTAAAGAAGTGAATGACAATAAAATTAAGTGTGTCGAAATTTCATGTTTGTGGATGTGTCAGGATTTTACTGTTGTTTTTTTTAATGCTTTATTGCATGTTTTTTGTGTCTTTTTTTTGTCTTTTTTTCACATTATTTTTCACGTATTTAGATGATGTTATTTAAAAATGCAAGTTTGGGATTGAAAAGAATCAATAGTAACTACCAAAGCTTAGAAATTTGGCAAGTAGTATCACCTTGAGGTCGTCTACAAAAGTTATATAACTCTTACACCTGGTGTCAAAATTTGCCCAATCCTGCTTGTCCCTTTTCCTATAATGTATGCTATAAATAAACGTTTTACTCTTCTTTGTTTCACTTTGTTTCTTTCACTTGTTTATTTACTTTATTATAATGTGTATGTGTGTGCGTGCGTGCACGCGCGTGCGTGCGTGCGTGCGTGCGTGTGTGCGTGTGTGTGTGTGTGTTGTTTTGTCACCGTAATACAACACATTTTGTTACGATACTGCAACACTTAACTGATAAATTTACGTCAGTTTAGAATTTTTAGCGTTTAATTGTTAGAAAAAAAGAGAGAAAATATTTTGTGTATAAACTGCTGGACAAAGCATAGTAAAAAAAAGTCCAAAGTTCACTTTTAACTTTTATTTGTTTATTTCATGTATTGCTTCGTTAAAAATTCTGAATTATGTCAAGATTATACATGTCATTTTAACATCGGATATGCTTTTAAAAGCATTATTTAAAATTTTATATTTTTATAGCAGTCGCAAGCATTTTATGTAAATCTTTGGTGTTGCGGAGAGTATAAACGTGATGACTGCATGCTAGAGTTTATGAGTATATTTCCTGAACAACGAATATAATATGCTGAGAGATTTGTATTATTTCATACATACGTTTCTCAAATAAAATATTCATCGGTTCCTATTAACCAATTCAAATAATCCGCAGATAGGAATTAACTAAATATAACATTGCTTTTTATAAACACATTCTATGTACATGTATTTGTTATATTTTGCCAAACATTTTAACTTAAATCGTATGCCTTGCTGTGCTGTGAAAAAAACTTGAAATTGTATCATTACAGGACTTTGAATGTACGATATATAGTATAATTGTGATACATTTGTACTATTTGATCAGGAGTTCAGTTTCTGCGATAAAAGTCACGTGGTCATTTGTCATTCACATTATTTCAATTCGCATCAGTACATGTATGGATGAAATACCACACAACTTTATAAAATATGCACCTGTAGAATTGATGCTGTCTTTGTTTTGTATAGTAATTGTATATTTATATGCACTTAGGTGTAAAGCAAACTCTCTCTTTAATTATAAAGACCTTAAATAAATCATTTCTCGTAGATTTATGAACATTTGGTCGTGTTTTGTAATACATGTAATAATAACAGGTGTGTTTTCTTTACTAAATCCCACGTGTGTTTTCTTAACTAAATCGTACTCTAACCTTTGAAATTATCAACGCTGGTTGGTAAAAATAATAGTCAGCCTTCTTTAGATGTAAGTTTAACGTTTTATTCAAATTCCACCAAACTTGTTTTGTACATTTGTATGATTGGTACATTATGTGTTATATGAACATGTACCAGAAGACACCATTACATTTTCCAGACCTCGTAACGCGCGAGTAACATCATTTTCGGTACTCATACTTAATCTTCATTCAAAGCCTTGCACTGCAAATTCAAAATTGTAATTTTCATGTTAAATGTGTAATACTGCTTAAGACCGTGTCGGTAACTTGCACTTTCAATTACCATCCATGAACAGGCTCAATAAAATCAAGCCTGTAAAATCTTTGTCGTTTTGTGCGTTTTTATGGATTCTTTCTTTCACTTTATTTCTTCTTATATACTTTGGCCTCATTATCACTTTTCATGGAATGAGTTTACAGTCAACTGATTCACTCTTGTAAATACGCCAAAGATTCTTCGAAATCAGTTATTAAATACCAGAGATGTAGCAGTGTCGTAAAGTTTGAAATAAAGCTAATGAATATTCCGCTCCATGATTCGAAACTTAAATAAAAGCTTTCGCTTATAAATTGTATTTATATACTTATATATTAAAAGTTAATAATTATTTTATTCAATAGAAATATGTTTCATCCTCATATCTTTGTCATTTAAGAAAAGATAATTAAAGACTTTTTCTGGAAAAACTCGATAATTTGCGATGTTTAAATGTTAATAAATAAATAAATTGATGATTAAACATTTTCATTGGCAAAACTTTATAATGCATTTATCAGAAAATTTCATGTTCATGAGAGATACTATAAAGGTGCAACATATCTGTCGCTCTCTAGCACCGGCTCAAGCGCTATGACATAGGATTTACGTTGAGTCTCCCTCTACATTCACAACAAGATGTTATGTTTCATTTCATGTTTTCAGCAACGGTTAATAGATACTTTTGTGCAAGACTGGAATAATAGTTGACTTACAATAGTGTTCTATTTATTTATCAGAGTGTTAAACAAGGTTTCGTGTATGAGTGTTAGATCAAAAAATGTAGACAAGGTTTAACAAAGTTTAGACTCTCTTCACAAAAACTTCGAAGTGAGTCCGGCAGATACGATGGAAAAGAATAGAGTTTGCGAAGTATGTGGATTAAATGACATTGAAGACGAATATCATTTTATTTTAACATGTGCAATGTATAAAAGTGAAAGGCAACCATATAGACAATTTTTATTAGGAACGTCCTAGTGTGTTTAAACTGACTCAGTTGTTTAAATCAAAGAATGTACAAAATTTGAAAAAGAATAATGTACTATAGTACATTGCTTTTGCCTCAATATCATATTGCTCTTAGTATCTCTTAATGATTACAAGTACATTTCTCTTGCTAGGATAACAATTGTTACAACCAACCTTTTGTTCGATATATGTAGAAAATAATGTATTGTAATCCGACTTTGTATAAATAGCCATTATGTCACTCTTATGATAAATAATTATGTACATATACTTATGTAAGAATGTTCATGTTTTGTAATGTTTATGTGATACCTTGATATACTGTATTTCTGTTAAGATGAGGAACGTATGCTTTAGGCTGAAAATAATAAAATAATAAATGATTTGATCTGTTCTGTTCTTTTATTGTATTATATAATAGCACTTTCTGATAGCTTGATGATCTTATTAATTTAAACGATTATTTTTTTCATCAAATGGTATTTTAAATCTATTCTTAAAAAGCTTTAACAGATTAAAACAAATTCCTGAAATTTACATCATTTTTGGATTTGCAGCCTTTTTTAAACAGGGCGACCTCTATCATAAAATACCGAAATATTTGTCTGAAATAATGCACAAAGGCGCACCTGAGGTCCTTGCCTTTAGTAAAACTAAAGTGTAGAATGCAAGTTTGAAATAAAACCACAAAACTATCAGTCATTACCTAGAACATGTGGACCTACAGTTTACCAAGAGCTTAGCTAGCAAAATTGAATTTTGTGACTAGAGTTCATAGACTTCTATTTTAATCCCAAAAAAATATAGCAATAACATTGAACATACAAGAAGATATAGGAAATTATTTCAGATATTATGATTAATGAACATGCTCATATTTATCTGATAAGTAGCTCACGCATTGTAAACTTTCAATTTAAGTGCTATATTGGAAATGAAACAACGTATTCTAAATATTTAAAAGCGACAGAACATTACCATAAACCATGAATGTTTTTTATCAAGCGCAAGTGATTATTCGGTAAAAATAGACTTATATTGGCAAATTTATCCCTGTTAAAAAGATTGCCAAAAAATACAACTACGTCGTATCATATTTTCCTTTAAACTACGTCGTATCATTTCGTAAAAATCTTTATCTTCTTTCAAAATAAACATCTCTTTTTTACAAAATTTAAGTACATGATGTAAATTTATATTTGGAAGTTTATGGTTAATTCTGAAACGACTATATAATTGATTTGAACGACAAAATATGGATAAAGCAATGTTAATTGCGTCGTATCAACATAACCACATATAAATTCTGGCCCGCTTCGAGTTGCAAGTACGCTATATCTTTTGTTTGACAAAATAGTTGTGCAAGCAACATAAACCGAAAGAAGCGGAAAATAGTGGAGCGTTTCTGGTTTTCGGTCATTTCCAACAAAAAGAGTAATAAACAAAAAAAAACCTTTTTCGTTCCGAGATGGCGGCGTTTGTTTACATTTTGTAGTTTTGATTCCCAGCCACGCCTGTACCAATGGCTTCATAATTAACAAAGATATATCCTTCCAACACGATACATTTACTTGGCATTAACTTTTGGTGAACATTTACTTTAAATATTGGCATAATTCACGATGTAGCCTGCCATCAATACCTCCACCTCCGCCTTTTCGTTTCTTCTTCTTTTAGACAGACGACTGTAAACATCCGGGAGTGCTATTCCACCTCCTATTGAAGAGTGACTTACGGTAATTTTCTTTGTCGTAAAATTACGCGTGAAACGCAACTAACGTAAAATTACATTTCGTGTACAATGCAGTAAGTCCGCCTGGGGAGCGTTTAACTAACATTCTGACGTTACTGTTACTCAAGTTTGAACGTAAGTTTTTGCGTAAGTTTTTGCGTTAGCAAAACTAACGTATTTATTTGCGGTTCAATAAACTTTCTTAACTACCCAGTTGAGTAAGTTTGAACGTTAAGTTACGCTCAGTTATTGCTGCCATAAATTCAACGCGCACTACGTAGATATGGTTGCCGTCTTATTGTTCACTTATTGGCAGTGAGAGACGCCGACCTCTGCCACGAATCTTTCGTAAGCGAATAGCCGTGCTAGACAATTTAAGGGACACAGAAGTCGTGGAACGTTATCTCCTCTCGCGGGAAGCATTTTTGATTAGCATAATCTAATAGAAGAAGACATAAGCCCATATTCAAATCGAAGTTTCCCTGTGCCGCCAAACAAAGATTCTGTATGGGAAACAACTAAAGGAAAACGCTGGAAAAATCAAGCTAGATTTGTCGCCCTATTGTATTTATTATGAATGAAATAGTTTGTTTACATTTTGTCAGATGACAACAACAACCCAAGTTCAAGGACGCTATAAAT